CTTGTGTTCTGAAAAAATATACATTCTATTTTTCTAGATCTTTATTTCCAAGCTTTTTTGGAGGTGTGGAAAACTTGTTTGAATGAAATGAACAAATAGTTTTAAAGATTAACTGTTTCAGAACCAAAAATCTAATAGCCCATGATCATAGCCTAAGTGCCAGTTATGGTCAATTCAGTGCTGCAGTAATCTTAGGTATCATGTCATTAATTATGAATTAACTCAACCATACTGTATATGTTGACTCCTGATAATTCAAACGTTCAAGAGAAATAGGAAAAACTACCTGAGGTGAAATGAAAATTGCTTAGCAGGATCGAGGTTTGAGTTAAAAAGGGTTCAAGTTAACGGGAGTCGACTGTATATTAAGTATATTTATCTCACTTTATTTATTTTTAATATATAGAAATTTATATCTTTACTGGCTAGCTGATGACATAATTTTTCCTGAAACTAATTCTGGTTTGTATTGAACAATCTATAAATAATTATTATGTCGAGCTGGCCATCCACTAGTACTGTAACATTCCTTTGGAAACCAAAAGGCATCATGTCAAGTATAAGGAAATGTTACAGTGACTACTAACTCTTGTCATACGATAACATTGCGTGATAGAGATGAATGTCAATAAATGTTAATTACCAAAATGCTTCTTTATATATCACCACATCATGACACCTCTACAGCTCTGGAGCCAGTTGTTTGAGGGCCGATTGGAGGTAACCCGGGGTTAAATTTTAACCTGGGTCTCTTTTTTTTTTCATCAGAAGCATTTTCTTGGACAATTTTCTCTCGACTATTCTTTTTAGAGCGTCCAATCATCAAATTGTACACTAAAAGAATTTTAAAACTGAATTTGCATCTTAAGCTTTCATATCTAAATTCAAATTTCGCACTAACCCTGGTTATCTTAACCCAGCTTTGAACAACGTGGCCCTGCAAAGTAAAACTAAGACCAACTACCCTTGTATATTTCCACCACAACATCAATCAACTTCTGTCGGCCTTGAAGAGGCCCTACATAACATTACTTCCTATTTATATCTTAACTCTTTCACTCTTAATACAGCAGTTATGTAGCCAATCAGTAAATTAAAAAATTGCAAAAAATCCAATGTTTTCTTACATTTCTTATTATGCCACTTCACTAACTAGGCAGCAGCACTTTTCAAACATGCATGGTATAATAATTGTTACACTTACTTATTAAGTGATGGCAAATGGGTTAAGAAATCATGGTTCTAGATCCAGCTTTAAAATCTAGAAAACTTTTCTTGTAACTCTCAAAGTCTCATTCTTGTTTGTTTCTTTCCAACTTGAAATTGGAGACTTGAACTTTTCGCTGCAAATTTTCAGATTTTCAAATAAGGGTCTCAGTCAGCATCTCAATGAAATACCAATATAAGCCTGTTGCTTCCAGGGTCATTCCGATAACTTTTTAAAACAAGCTACTATGCATGTAAACGAAAAAAGTATACGACTTTCAGTTCACCACTGTATCTCTTGAATGATGGACACAAAGTCATCTTACAGAAACCACAATTCCAAGGATATTGTTATGATAACGTACTGCATACATGTACACTGGTATCCTTTTCCTTAGCCTGCGTAGTAAGTAAGTGTTTCCATATGAGTTTGTCGATAAAGTTCATCCAACTTTCACACAATAATTGGATCAAACACACTTGCTACATAAGCTACCTTTTTCTTGGGTAATAAATAAGTGTTTTAAGTTAATTCAGATAAAATCTCTGATTCTTCTGACTATTTGATAATGACTCTACTAAGAGCATAGTAACCGAAAAAGAAGATTCCCACAAGTGCAGCTATCATGTAACACATTAATTTTCGGTTTGATCGTCCAGAAGAAATCATTGTTGATAGCCGTGCGGCACTACCACCCAACAGGCTTGAAGAGCTACTAAATTCATCTCCCTATAAAAACATTCAAATCATAAAATTTAAGTTAATACTTTTATCAGCCATTATAAAATAATAATAATATTTAATACATGAACTTTGTAAATATATATGTTGTAGTTAATTTTTTATCTCAGGTAATTTTTGTTTTTCTTTTGTTTTTGGGTATGTTAATGTATGCTAATGAAGTTGAAACAAAAGGAAAAATAAAAATTACCTGACATAAAAAATTAACTACAACATATACATTATGGTGGAGCTTCCCATGAGTCCTTCTTTCAGGGTTCGTACCCTTTTTAGAACAAAAAATTCAAGGACTTTCAAGGACTCATTTCCCATTTTTCAAGGACTCCATTTAGTGCAAAAAAGAGCCTTGAGTCTGTCTTTTTTGGTTCTTCCACAACATGAGCAATTTTACCCTGATAGGTCTTTCTGTGTTTGCTCCTTTTAGAACCTTGAGAATCTGTATTGGATAAAGTTAGCACCGAAATTCAAGGACTTTACAGCACCGACTGCAATTTTCAAGGACTTTCAAGGCCTTGAATTTTTATTTTGAAACTCAAGGACTTTCAAGGACTTTCAAGGTGCGTGTGAACCCTGTTCTTTACAGCATTCCACTGGTGGGCAGAATGTCCTGTTCAATCACCGTCAGTGACTCAGATTTTTTCTTTGTCCCACGCTCATGACATGATATGCGATCATAACATCTTTTCTCAATAATATTACAGTTCCCCAATACAAAAGGCCATTCAATCAGTAAAAAAGACCCTTAACCCTTAAATGTATACAAACTCTAAAAATATATACCTATATATATTTAATCTTGAAAATATATTTTGCTTCAACCCATGTTTTGGAATTTGGGCCAATTGGTTGGGATCCAGAATCCATCTCATGATAAAAATCAGTACAGCTCGAGGTGAACAAGAATTTGAGGATTCCATCACTCTCTTACAAAAGCTTACATCACTCATTTTCTTGAAATTTATGAACATTAGCCAATGGCATGAAGTACCCCTTTCCTTGGCTTTGGTAATTTATTACAGACTGGCTTGACTGCCTTACCATTCCATCCAAGTATTTATTTTGTTGCTTGGTTTCATTCTCAATGTCAATGGCAATCTAATAAGAAGTAATAAAGAAAAAAATGATGCACTGTTTAAAAAATGAGCAAGAGTGTAATATCAGGTTTAAAAACTTGAGGGAAAGCTGAGTTCACCTCAAGTTTTTAAACCTGAAATACACGACTGATGTTTTTTGAATGGCTTCAAAATCTCCCATATAGATCAACACATTATTGCACTAATATTTAGATTTGGGGTTATTTTGGTCTAAAAAATTGGACGTAAAGTTTAACTGTGTCTTTATCAGATATAGACATTAGAAATAGCTGTAATTTCTTTTGTTCTTCTTTAAGCATCTGAATTATTAATGACTTTTTCAAGTGATATATGATATACTGGGATATCACACCTGTGCATAAACTAGAAATATTGTTATGAAAACTATAAGAAAGTACCTAGCCAGAACAAAACTTTTTAGGAAACAAAACAGTTGATGGTTATGTATACTGATACATCCAGCTGTCATGACTGTGGTATCACAGTGCTGTCAGCTCTCCTGCATAATCCAGGAGACTCCAGATTTTGGACCGTATCTCCCGGTCTCCAGATCAGAGTCTGTTATCTCCTGGATAATTGCCAAAGTTGCTATTTCTTGTAGACTCGACTTTCCGACCTTAAGATGTCAAATATTTTGCATTGTTTGAGCTACTGTCAACATGGAATGTTTCCTCATAAATTCTGGCATGCCACTGTAATTTAAGCAACAATGAGGCTAAATATGAACTGTTTATGTTCTATATACATTGATCGGAATCAACGAGCATTTTGGCACAAATGATGTCATTTGTAGTGCAATATGACATCATCTATCATTCCTTCCCTATCAATTCTCAATATTTGATTGCATGGGGGGTTGACAGCCCTGTATCAGTCTCTTAGCCATTATATTTTTATTGCAGTCGCATACAACAGCACATAGAAATTTGCTCCACTTCTGCAGTCCAGATTATCTCATTATGTTAAGACAGTCATGCCATCACAAATCTATTGTTCTTTAGAAAATGGAGGTCATGATTAAAAAAACTCCAGCAATGGCCAGAACTGAGGAATATATATATTGTCATTTCTAAGACGTTTTCCCTCTCAGACTCTATACTCCTTATAGGTTTAACAACATATTAATTAGTTTATTCAATGCACGGTTCTTCACCTATGCAAACACAAAATAAATTCCCTGACTTACTCCTTTCAAACGAGAAACTTTGGCAGCTAAGTCGTCCACCATTCGGTTATTTTCTGTTTCTAACATTTCATCAGTTGTAGTGCTCCTGGCCCCTGATGTATGATATTTAAGCTAAATTATCAATCGGTTTCAACTTGTAAGCTAACTGTTTCTGATTATTACTTTAAAAACTCTTCTCCGAAAAACCACAGATCCTGAACTCTTCGCGCTAGCTTACAAAAACTAAAGAAACAGACAAAACTACAAAGGGCACAGTGTAAGCTTATAAACGTACTATAGCTATTAAAATCTCCACAAGGGATCGGAAGTGCTAGCGGATTGTACGAAATAATTCCACGTCACAACTTTTTCAAACCGTGTGAGAAAGCCTTATTATTTCAAGTCAGCATCTTTTGATTTGATAAGCTAAACTTTTTGTAGGTGGCTATCTTGAATTGGATGGACATAGCTATGTTTGTTTCCCATACTTTAATACTCTACTCGTGGTTTACATACCTCGATGACTATTACCACCTCTGTTCGCCATATTTGTTTTTGTATCTTTTGAAAACCGCTGACACAGTTCTCGTCCCAGAGCCCGTCGACTCTCGTACCCAGAGCCCCGTCGACTTAGGGTCTCGGGGTACGGAGGGTTACGGAGGGTACGGTAACTTTACAGCGCACCCCCAGACGTCAACATGAGAAGGAAAAAAAACATTGTGAGGGAATTTACAGCCGTAAGCCCCACGCCAGAGGAGCCCAATAATCCTCGATCGCATGGGATTTTCTAGCCTGAGGAATGTCAGCTGTTGTCTCAGGCCTTGGGGGGATACTCGATATATCCTTGGGTGGGGAGGTGCGGCTCGGCCCCTCATACCCTGACCCTGTTTAAGACAAAAATCGCTGATTTTCCTACCCTGTTTAAGACAGCATTCCGATTTTTGATACCCAGTTTAAGACATTCGTAGAACATAAGCGCAGGCTGTTTATCGTCTAAGAACAGGGTTATGAGCTCCTGTAGTCCTGTCTAAGAAAAGATACCCTGTTTAAGACAAAAATTGATAAACTCGATACCCTGTTTAAGACAAAAATCCCGAAAAACATACCCTGGCTGGCCGCACGTCCCCATTAAGCCCTTACAAGGGAGTACCCCCCCCGGGTCTCAGGCTAGGGATTTTCCCGACATATGAAAACCAGGCTTTACTCCGGCTTTACTTTTACCGCGCCTCCGAGATTTCAGAGATGATCGATGATCATTCGACCTGTGAAAACACAAATTTGTAATGTCAAGGATCAATGAAACAGGGAGATTATTCATAAAAGTAGATCGTCTCTTACATAAGGAAAAACAAAAAGAGCCAGTACATACATGACATACATGTACATTTTATTTGGCAACTCCCAAGCTACAACGCTACATGCATTTTACACTAGGCAGGAAGAACACCTACAGAAACTTTTTACTCCATCTGTTCTTTTTCGCCCCACGTATGGGAATTAAATACGACATAAATTATAAATATACATTTAAAATACAGAAGTTACAACTCTTGATCATATTTGTGTCTGTACAACTGCAAGATTAAAAACAGCCTGTTTGCAATATCACTCCTCTTTTTCTCTTGTGTTTTTTAGCTCTCAATATGTGCTTGAAGTACGCTTCACTGCTGAAAATCGATGTATTTAAACTCGACATGAACAGAAACTTCATCAGTTATACTCATACATTTCCAGGTCAGCAAATGGCAACGGCTGAAAACAAGTACACAGTATAGAAACCCGTCCTCAGATATCTTTTGCGTGAGCTGAAAGCGAAATCTGGTCAAGCAGGCTTTCGCCCACAAGCAGTCTCTTGAAAGAATATAGTGCGCGAAACTAACTTACGAGAAGGCGAGCCGTCTTTACGACCGCTCGCGGTCTAAACAGGCAGTTCACTTGCTGGTGAAAAAGAATGCACGCCTCAACAAATTCAAACTAGCAACCAGAATGATGTCTTCGTTTCCAAAGTTATTTTTCGCGAACGAGGTTGGAATTCGAAAAACTCTTAAGAGTACAGGGGCAGCAGTGTACAAAGAAAATTTACAGACATTTTCTCACATCCTTGAAAATACCAATGCTCCGTGGACATTTTTCTGGACCTTCACAAATATCGCGCGAGAGTAAAAGCCAATCCTACTAGGCAATGCTCTGGAAAGATTCCACATCAGAGGACGGCCGTTAGCACAGATCACGAGTACGAAAAGTGGAGACAAGAAAAAGCAACAATACCCCCTTATCTTTTATGTAAACAGTTGTTACTTGCGTACACTCACAAATAAACTACATGGAGCTCCTCTATCTACATTAACTAACTAGAACAGTTGTTTCTCTCCAATAACTAAAACTGTTATAACCTATTGACAAACAAAAATAAACTACACAAACGCGCAAGCCACATCGCGCGTAGAACCACCAGAATTTCATGCCATTGTATTTTTACCTATATACATTTCATACATTATGACGGTTGTGGTTCTATCTTTCAATCGTTAATTGTATAGGTGCAAATTTGTTGTAGTATTTAAAATTCATCTCATGTATCAGTTCACTCTTTATCAAACATTATCATAAATATATAGAAAGGAAAGAATGCACTAAGGATAAAATAGCTTGAGTATCGGGCCTTCCTTAAGGATGAATATGACGAGACTTTTAAGAGAGGGAGAGGGAGGGAATCTTTCTTCCGGTATCGTTCTCTCCTCCCCTTCTCTATAGAAAAGCCTGAAGATCAGGCTATGCACAAAATGGAATCACAAAATATACGGTACATTAGTCCTGTGAAGAGATGTAAAAACTATTTCGAGTTGGTCCGTTAGAGTGTTATTCCCCGTGAGGAGGGCTATGAGGTTTCCTAACGGTATAGTTTGTAAGCCTCCCTTGACTATTTAGCAATTTCCAACACAGCCCTTTAAAAAGGCTGGTTACAGCACTGGGCTTCTTCTCATGAGGAAAGGGTGAACCAGTCTGAAGGACTAGTTCTTCGTATACACTACGTGTAAATTCTAACTAAGCAGCCGGGTCTTAAAATAACTACCAAACGTATCATAATTAGTTAATTATAAGCCTAAGAGATTTGCCCATTTTCAGAGAAATAAATCGCTAAATTTACCACGAGAAAGCAAAGTAACAGCTTCCATTAAAGTGGTAATATGACTCTACGCTTTTTGTACGTACAAAATAACTTTAGATCTTTCCTAACTTGTCCACGGAAGAAAAGAATATTCGGGGATTTCTGATTACCACTCATCTTTTCTTTTATCCTCTAAATTTTTATGCTTCTTTCTCTTCTTCTCTTTTTCTCCCGGCATTTGAAGGGATTCCAGCCTAACTGGTCTTCCCATAGGAGACATGCCGGCCAAATTCCCCATACTTCCCACATTCCCAGGGGCAGGTCCATTATTGTTAAGTCCCCCAGTCGAAGCCCCGTTGGAAGGGAAGCCAAGCGAAGCGCGTGATCCTCCTGAGGGAGATGAAGACTCTCGTCTATCATATCTGTCTATTCTTGTGTTCTCAGCCAACAGCCTATCCGCTCTTTTCGGCTTAAAATAGCTCGACACGTAATCTTCATTCGAGCTTCTGGACAAATGTTGAAGGAAGCGATCCTCAGTTGGCTCCTCAGGGTACCCACCTAAGTGCCCATTGATGGCCTGTCCCTGGTTGTTAATCTGGGGTCTGTTGATACCGGGTGATTTGGGTCCCCGGGAGTTTGCACCCGGCATAATACCAGGGGTAGGAAGTGTTGTTTTTGTAATAACTAACTCCGGTATGTTCCATTTGCCGGAGTCTTCGTCCCAGCTGCTCTCCGAACGAATCTTGTCAATGTTATAATAATTACAGTCCCGCCGAATGCACGGCTGAATCTTATCCATGATCTGCTGCTGAAGTTTGATCATTTGCTCTTGCTTACGAATCGTTTCCAAGTAATCTTCCCGATCGCGCTCAAATTCAGTTTGAAGGTCATCAATCTCAGACTGCGCGGATTTCAACTGTCCTTCCATCTGATCAATCTTCTTACTCTTTACCTTGATTTCGTCTTGTAAATTGTCATAAACCTTGACCATAATTCCATCGTCTTCCATTTTCCTTGCTGCCTTCGCTAGCTTCTCTCTTTGTGTCAAAGCATAGTTTTTCTTCGCTTTCCTCTTTTCTTTCAATTTCTGATCATTTTTTTTCTCTCCACCCACAAAATTTTCCTGCAGTTCTTGCAGACGTTTCACTAAAGCATCAGTGGGAAGACCTTGACTTAAGAAACGCAGATCTTCTAAGCCAGGCACGAGATTCTTTATGTCCTGTACACCTTTCTTTGCTTTATCCTGTACTGTCTGTAACACACTCTGTTCTTGGCCTGAATCTTGCAACGCTTGTAACGGCCCTGTGATCGCGTTAAGCGCCGCGTTTGAACCAGGAAGATGCGATGTCTTCTGATCCTGCTAAAATGAAATGGAAAAAAATCAACGCAAAGAAAAATAGAGAGGGAAACCAAACCAGACAGCCTTGTGCTCGTCCTGCTCGCAAGCTATCGTCTGTCATACGAACGCATGCTCGGAGATAGTCGGGCCCGCGTCTTCCCTACTATCTGAGAGCCTGGAACAGGCTAGGTATTTAAATAAAGGTTGGATCGTATTTGAACTTAGAGACTGGAAATGGCTCCCAGTGAACCAAACAAACACTTGTCCACTTTGCTCGCAAGAATTAACAGAAATAAGGCATTCGGCACTTGCATCATTTTTCGTTAACAGAGATAGAAAGTGTAACCTAAAAACCGACCTAGTTTTGTCGCCAATTACTGCTAATGCAGTAAAGCTATAAATGTGATTTCGGTGACCTTTTTCAAACTTACCGCATCATTAGCCAAGGCAATTATGCTGATCGCACTGTCTGCAGGCAGTGCGCCCATCCCCACTCCCACTGAGTTACCGCCACCGCCACCACCAGCATACTGCTCCTCAACATTATGAACTTTCTTGTTATAGTCATTCTTCAACCGTTCCATCTCTTCCTGCAGTTTCTGTTTTGACATCAGTTCTGCTTCATAAGACTCTTTCATTTCTGCCAGCTTCGATTCATACTCCTTCCTTAGCTTATCAGTTTCCATGGCAACTATTGTTGAGTGATCCTGAGAGTGGGTTGCCTGAATATGTGCTGCTTTAGGCTGGACTGTGACAGCAGATGGGCCCCCTGTGGTCATAAGGACGTGATTAGCTATCAAGTTCTACATACTAAGTACTGCAGCCACAGCTAGCCCGACATATTTTCCATTTCCTTTCCAGAAGATAGCTGTTAATTTTAAATCAAATGAAGGCAGTGCAATGTGCAAGGGGCAAAATTTCAGTGAAAATATGTATACCAAACATTACTTGTGAAGTTCAACAATGGAAACTCGTACTGGTTGTTGTTCTGAACCAGGGGAGTAAGGACCACTGGCACAGTGATTAGAGGCATTACTTCCCAGCAAGGTGGTCTAGGTTCAATTGCCACCATCAATATCATACTTATGTGAGTTGGTTATTGAGTCCGGTTTTTCCTTCCTCTCAAAAAGTATAAACACTTCCAAATTCAAATTCAAATTCAAATTCCACGTTCAAAATAGTTCTTCAAAGCTCCAGTATGTTTCATAGGTACACAAATTACACTACATATCATAAGAAAATTACATTACAATACGTCACAGGTGATTTTTATACCTGATGTCGTTAAATCAGCTGGAACTTCCATCTGCCCCATCAGCATAGCTTTTAATTTCTGAATCTCCTCTTGATACTGCCTCAACAGTGCATCTTTTGGGTCTTCATTAATCTTGGGTTTGTTCTTGATGTTTTTCGCACGATTTGCATATCGCAGTGTACTCAGCGTCTCGTCATAGTTGTTGTCTGCTGGACTCAGACATGCAACCATCAGTGTCTTGGTGTTGCCACCCAAGGAATCCTAAAAAAATTTGTCAATAGGTACATAGTAACTAGGTAATGCACAGGCTACTCACCCTGCGAGAGATTACAACGCACCTTGAACTCGCACCCACTCTAAACAGGTTAAGGAGGGTTTCTTGTCTTGGGAAACAACATGCTCGCATAGCCATGCCTTAATCTACTCAACTTAAAACTTAATTGTAATATCCATCATTGCAGGGGTGTTCAGTATTATAATAAAATAGCTAAGTTTTTGCAATCATTGCAAAAACTTAGATTTCCTAAAGCTGAATTAAGTAAGTCACCTGGGGCCATTGGATGCTCTCCCAGAGGACAGCCAGGTTATTGAAAAAATTAATAATATTCTAGTCTTAAAGTCTAAGATTTTCTTCTTGTAGCTTTTGAATGTATCATACAGTTTTCATCAGCAAAAAGAGATGAGAGATCAGAGATAAGGGGTTGCTTCCCACAATTTTCTGCAATTTTTAATCATTTGTTGTCACATGACTAATTCCTGTGACAATACTGAGCATTTATTGCAGATGAAGACTGTGCAATACAGTCAAAAGCTACAAGACTAAAATCTTAGACTAGAATATTCAAGTTTGATTATCAAGGTTAGGAGCATTCATGGAATTAGCCATATTATTGTTTTCTCTTTCACTTTGGACATTCCACAAGCACGCATTTCATTAACTACCAAGGAAAAGATTGACATAACTGCGACCAAAGGAACCAGAAAGGTGTCAGGTTTTGTTGCTAGAGTGCTTTTCAAGTCCAACCCTGCTTTTTTTAATAGGCATCCACTTTAGTCTGGTGCTCCTCTTATACACTTCAACTGAAATACTGCCAGCTTAGTCACTTAAATAGATGAATTAGCAAATTTTCAATGCCTGTACAGTGACTTTTACATGTATTTACCTGAAGCAGTCTGGTTAACTTGGAATCACGGTAAGGGATGTGACTTGACTTTCCATCAACTAATGCCGATATAACATTTCCCAAGGCAGAAAGTGACAGATTAATTTTTGTGGCTTCTTTGAGTCGGTCACCAGTAGCACCAGTTTTTGCCTGCCTTTCACTTCCTGCCAAGTCCACTAGGTTAAGCTTCCCTGCTCTGATATGCTCGCCACTCTCATTACCAGCCTCCATGATTTCAATATTGATGGTGAATATTGAATGGGATCTTGACGAATCCGCATTCATGAGTGTGGCACCCACCGATCGGTTTTTACCTCCCAGATCCATGACTTTCTCCATCTCTGCTACGCTGTGTACAGGGTGCATTGTCAGGTCCTTAACGTAGACTCCTCTCTCGGGATGTTCCTTTAGCTCTAACTTGTGTTTATGATCCTTCCCTAGGAGATCCCTTATTTCCTCATTATAAATTTCCAAGTATGAAGCATGCACCAAGAACTTTGCATTCTCAGCAACTTGAATTGCGTCAAATATATGTTCAAATGCACGCGGGATTACACCTCTCTGTGTTGGTGGATCAGTGATTCCTTGCATACTAAATGACTTTCCACAACCTGTCTGGCCATATGCAAATACAGTACCATTGTAACCTTCCAATACACCATCAACCAATGGGAAACAGATGTCATTGTAGATAGTTTCAGTTGTAGAGTCCATATAAAATGCACCGTCGAATGTGAATGTTTTGGGAGGCTGTGATTTTTCACCAGGTTTGGATAATGCGCATTGTCCAGAGGATGAGTCCATTTGTACCACAACTTCACAGTTGAGGTCCTTTTCACGCCGGTTGAGAGGTCTACAGCGTACGATAACTTTAACTGCTTCAGCCATGTTGATCTAGGGCTATTAAAAAATAAAGCATTATGAATTAAAATCTGGTTAAATCAAACTGCAAACAGTTCAAATTTCTAAAATCTCCTCAATTTTAATAAATGAACAATGAAAATCTCAACACGTAAAATTAATATTCACTGTAGTACAGTCAAGCCTTTATAATACACACCACAGCACAGCCGGATCATTTCCCCACCTTACATATAGTTGAGGAAAATGCAAAAAATAAAGAACAGCCATTTTTCACTGTGTAAAGAACTACATTTAAATGCATTATAAGTTGATTTATTTCAAGTAGATTAAAAAATACTTGGACTTTCAATTTATTATTTACACCATTTCATGGTTGTCATAACAAACACGAAACATCAGTCAAGATTAATCTACTTAAAAAGTTCACAAAATTTAATTTGTCAACTAAAAATATGTTATACATAAATAACTACGGTTCGAAACAAAAAAGTTCCAAAAAATATACTTAGGATTTATTTTTTCACGCTGAGCTTTTGAGTTTTTCAACAATACCATGTTGTGGTTATGATTAAAATTTTATACCAAAATAAAAGGAAAAATAAAACCTTTTTTACTAAGAAATATGAGAGTTATCAGACTACTATCCCAAGTTGAGAAGAATATCTGTGACATTTATCTATGGTGCATTTTTATCCCAACTATCAAGAGTATTCATTTAGCAGAAAACCGTACTGTAATCTCACGGGTCCAAATCTGAGAGCAAAACTAGGCCGATGTAATTAAGTTATTTCATAACAATTCAGATATAAGCAGGTGTTATGTTTTTTTTCTTTTGTTAGTTTTTTTTACTTTTGTTCATTATGTAATTAAAACATGGGTATTCTTTTCAAGGTTACCATGAGCTGCTTAAGTACAAAGAACAACAAAATAATAATGTTGCTGTTGGTGTAGTTTCATATAAGCAGAGAATGACTCTAATCCCCTTATCCCTGTCCCTTCTACAAACATTACTATCCTTTGGGAGAGTTTGTGTTTCTCCACTGCACTAATTTCTAGAAACAGCTACAAATGTTTGTACTCATAGTTAAAAAAAAAACCCACTGATATCACTCAACTGGGTTGTCCAAACAGGGTAGCATACACAAACACAAGAAGAGGGTCTAACAACACCTCTGAACAACAAGAACATGTCACTAGTGCGAAACCAGGGTCATCACTCAATGCTCCTAAATGTTGAGGGGAGGAGCATTGTGTGACAATCCCACAAATGGCTTCTCAGGAGACTAACAAGGTGTAAACATACTGGTGATCGCTTTAACACATCTAACAGTGAAACTCTCCCAGATTTAGCCAAGTGTACCATTATTGAGAATATATCTGCTATAAGTCTCCAGTAAGGTAGCCTCCCATGCAAATGTTGTTAGAGGTTTGTCACGCGTTCCTGCCATTCGTGGGGACAATTACGAAATGAGCCAAAAGAACATCTGCGGGGGAAGCTACCAGTAAGGAGAACAAAATCCTATATAAAGAACAAATCTCTCAATCAGGAAGTAATAATTTTATCAAAACCAAAAAAATCATTATATTATTCAAGTAACTTTCTTCCACCTTTCAACAAAGGCTGGTTACACATGCTTTTTTGCCATTATGAGGAATAAAGAAGATTCTTCTTCTTCTTTCTTGAAACTCTACCTTATTCTTATCAAGATTCTTGTGAGGCTAGTGAGGTTGGACAGGATGGATTAACGCTTACATGTACAACCAACTAAAAACCATGATAAAAGTGCCTCAGATTGCTATGGATATTCTAAAGAAGAAGTGGAAAGTGGCTCATTTGGAAGAGTGGTTCCATCTGGCATTTTGGGCATAGAATGGACTGATTTGGGACATCCAGAGTTTGCATTGTTAGAGATGGGCACTCAGCGAAATACAAGATAACCTCATTTGTTGCACTTCTTCTATATGTAGCTGCAACACCAGCTTAAGCATATAATTTCTATTTTCCAACAGAGATATTTAAGTCTTAACTCGGGAAATAACATTTCAGAGGTAAAGTGAGTAAATTTACTTAAAAGTATTGTTGCTAAGACGTCCCATCAAAATTTCTAAGTAATTTTTAAATGGATTTATTCCTCAAATTTTAACTCTAGAGTCATTTTACCTGGTATTAGTAATTGCTGCACGAAGGAAAAACCTAAAATTAAAAAAATGGAAGCAGCTAAAGGAGGTAAAATTAAGCTTTTTGTGGCCGGGGCTGATTATTAAGTAACTGAGCCAGAGTACAATGTAAATTCATTGTGGCCGGTCAGGCCTCTGAGAAGAAATGCGGTTTTCTTACCTTGCTGTCCAAGTGACAATGTCCTCTCTATCTCTGAGTGTTTATTTTCGCTGTTTTTACAATGCAAGCTACGAATGAAAATTAAAGAACTTCTCGTTCATGGTATAAAGTTTTGTGAGCCGGTCAAATCTTGCGAAATCATCTCTGTTTGTACACGCGCTTTTTACGACAAAATAACCTAAAGATTGTTAAAATCATCCCTGGTAAGATTTTACTCCTGTTGAAAACGGTGTATCCTTTGTCATACGAAGTTGAAATGTGACAATTAAGGAAAGAAAATGGGAAGAAGTTCAGGTTTCTTCTTCTTCGACCGCCATCTTCCTTAGTGATGACGTTTTTACCCTTATTTGGAGCCGGCTTGTATCAAATGCTACCATGACAACCATTCCCGGGAATCTGGCTAGAACAAAAGCGCGTAGGCTTTTCTCACTCTTGAACTGTGAGCACAAAAAAAACAGTAGCAACAACAAAAACACAATTATGTTGTTCGTTTATTTGTTTGTTTATTTTCTAAAGCTATATCGAGTTCTATAGGCAAGGCAGCATCAAAGTGAACCTTACAATAAGGCCTGCGTTCATGCCTGCTTGCAGACGGCTCCTGTGGTTTGTAGTTTTGTATTTTATTTTTTATTCCATCCTGTAATACATTAGTTGTACAATAATACAATAGTTGTACAATATTAATAATACATTAGTTGTACAATATCAATTGGTACAAAGTTGCTTAAACTACGTGTACTTAATAATAAAAATAAAAGAAGAAAATTAGAATGGAGAAGGGCACATTATAGTAAAACTAATCATGGCCCTTTAACAAGATTGACTTTACTCTTTTGTAGTTTTGTTATTCATTAAAACACAAACACGCACGCACACACGCACACACGCACACACGCACACACGCACACACGCACACACGCACACACGCACACACGCACACACGCACACACGCACACACGCACAGGTTGTGGTTATCTTTCACTACAACGATGAAAGTTCAGGTGGAGGAAGTAACTGAAATCAGTACATGTATTAAACAAGAGCGCGCTCCCTAGGTACGGCAAACAGGCAACAAAAAACGCAGAACTTGTTTTACACACCATGATGCCAAACGAATTGAATAGCGTTATTGCGCATTTTGATTTTATTACTACCACGAATCAAACCTCTCATGTGGCAAATCAGGTTGTTGCGGAAAAGTTCTACTTTTTCCGACAAAATCTGTACATGTTGCGCGTTTTACTAGCCCAAGGCAAACTCGTTTTGCAGCAAGTGACGTATTTCCTGTTGTATAGTGTGACTCCCGCGTAATTTTATCCTATCAGAAGTCCATATAGGTTTGATAGCCTCAGCACAGACACCCACTCCCCTCAACAAAAACTGGGGGAGAGAGAACCCGGCGACGTCGTAAATGAGGGGCGTAAGGGGGGCACGAATACCGCAAAACCGCACAGAAATACGTATAAACACCGCAGAGAAAAACATAAGAAAACCGCATTGAAATTACCCGAAAATTTCTAAATACCGTATTAAAACCGCTTGGTATTGTAAAACCGCAGTACCACAACATAAAATATAAATTTCCGCAAAACTGCACCAAAAATCGAGTAAAACCGCATCACCGCAAACCCTTACGCTCCCTTCTCGTAACAAAAAAGAGGTTTGGGCCGGGTACTTTAAAGCCAGATTAAAGAAAACCTTCGCTACGCCACCACTGGGCACCACTAAAATACATTTCGCGGGGGAACTGGTGGTAGCGTCGCGAAATGTGGCTGTTTTCTGAGGTTTATAACCCAGGATCAGCGCGAAATTTGACTGTAAATCTTAACATACACTTTTGTGCAAGCAAATTTCTTCGAATTCTTTTGCCCTGCAATTTGATGCATTTAGAGGCTCTAAAATAACGTATTGACAGAAACTGTTTTTGAGCAAAATAAATAAGAATCCAGATTAAGATTTAAAGCCAGGGTTAGTATAGCCCGCGAGCAAGCTCTCCTATTTGGGCGAGTGAAGCTCGCGCGTTCTCGCGAGGCTCACTTCGCTTGCCCAAAAAGGAGAGCTTACTCGCAGGCTAGGGTTAGTGATAATCGACCTTAACAATAATTGGTTTGAATTAAGCCATGGTTTGTTATCTTTTACATTTGGTATCCAATAAAATTATTTGCGTCTTCTTTTCTTACATCTGGCCTTGCGTCTGTGGAGGAAAAGAGTTTGACGTCATATAAATAATTTAAAAAGCATTAGATACTTAGCTTCCGAGTTCCCCGAAGCCTCTGTTTCACAGCGAGGCTAAGTGAAAAGCTACTGATATAAAAATGACTTTTTATTCTGAGGCCAAATAAGCCTCATTTTGACAAGAAAAGTTTGCACTTAGCATCGTTTTGAAAGAAAGAATGTGTGGAACTCGGAAGTGGCTTATTTATCGGTATCCTTGGTATGTGGACTAGAGGTCAACGCATGCGTACCTTTCAAACTTCGCTTTCGTCTCCAGCCGTAAGGTCCATAGGAGTTTATTTCCCTTCTTTCTTCTCTCTCCTCGCTTTCCTGGCGTCGCTCTCTGGCTATTTCGTCTATTTTTTCCATATGATGACTTTTTCTTGCTTGTGTTTGACTTATCTGCATTGAAATCGCCAACATCACGCATACAAGAAGAACTCGTATAGCCATGTCTACGTTCAGAGATAAAAATTTGACGTACAAAGGATCTCATGAGAAGATTTAGCCACGTTAAATAGATGAAGGAAACTAACTCAAATATTTAAATCCGTTACCGGAATTACATGGAATTTCTCATCCAGTTTTCTTTAAATTTTAAACAAATTTTTATTCTATGTTATTTGTAGTATTTTTAAAAACTCAACGATGACCCTCTTTTTTCAACGTGTGTGATAAAAATAGGATCCCTGTTGTAAGGATAAGGATTAAATGTTGTGAATTAGCTTGAATTCATTGTTTTTTTTAGAAATAGTCATTCATGATTCATCCGAATGTATCCCAAAGCAACACTTTACATTCAAAAAATGGGGTCTTATGGACATAATTGAAATTACAAATTAATGATTTATGGTGACTAACCGGAGTAAGAAATTAATCCACAGCAACGGTTCGAAGCTCTAATCTCCTCAGTCTTTTCTTCGATAAAGCATACGTAGCGTGGTGGTTAAAAATCTATTCTCATAATCGATAAATATTATTTAGTGTTATACTTAGTTTCTGATTTTCAATTAAGTTGTCAGTTGCATCCTTCCTGTATTTCTTGCGAGTGACAAGCTTGTTATAATTAAATTTGTTTTCATATATAGATCTGAACCACTTAAAAACTTGTGGAATAGATTAACTTGTTCGGCTAGGAAAAAGAGATCAGTGATGCAATACGAAAAGCATCCGAGACGTCTGCTAAGCATAGCAGATCATCGAAAAGGATAGCATTAAGAGATTTAAATATTTGCGATAGCCGAGAGACAAGTTAAGCTAGTAACTGCAGAATAATCTAATGAAAAAGATGTTAACCGATGATTAGTCGGGGTTATTATGATTATCATGTTGCCGTTAGCTTGGTAAGTGGGTTGGTGTTGTGTTCTCGCCTCAGGAAGGTGATCGATAAGTCGTACGATAAATCGCCCTCGCAAATCCGATTCCGAAACTGGATGGGAGATAATAGTCTTAAGTGTTTGGATCAGCTCGCAGGCAGTGGATGCGGAAGATATGTAGTTAACAGCTAGAAATAAATGGTACAATTGAGGAAAGAGAGCATTCCTGAATCTTGTTTGCTCAGTTCCCATCAACGAATCGAACCACTCCTCTCCGACATGCCTAGCCTAGAGGGATGACGCGTTGGGACCTTAAGATTCGACGACGGTGACGGCAAAGAGAACACCAAAAAAGAAATAGGTTTAGTTAGCTAAACAAATACTTTGCACGTGCATCACGCTTTTTATACATTTCTTTGTCTTCACTGAACGACTACGACTTGAAAATGCCTAGCTTGATGTTCAGTGGAGGACGAGCAACGACGAAATTTTCTTTATCTTTCTAAACCTAGATGAGTCTCCTACGAATTCAGATCCAGGAGAGTTCGCATATATTTGACAAAGTAAGCGAGTTGGAATAATCGAGATGAAGATTGAAAAACGGCGAATTCACTATTTAAGCGACGTTTTCCGTGCCGTTACGACGTCGACGGCTACGAAAAGGCCACTTTAAATGTGAAGTCGCGATGCTTCAAGCTTATCGCGCCTATTCTATCTCGTTCAGTTCGTCAAATGTTGGCAATTGTTTATGGAGCTGAATTCTAAAAGACTTTATCGAAGTTCAAGAGAACGTCGAAGTCGTGCACTGCAAAAAGCTTATGCCCGCGCCTATTCTATTGCTCAGTATAAGTTCAGTTCGTTGTAAACAAATGTTGTAAACGCAAAGTGTTTCTTTAGGCCTTCCTGAATTCGAAAAAACGCTCACCGTTTAAATCGAAAAACGTTCAAAGAGGAAAATTTGTCGACCTTCGTGTCGGCCGTAAACGCACGTAAACGCAAAAAATGCGTGATGCCCGCTGCAAAGATGGTTGTTTTGCTCTTGCGTATTTCAACCTAATTCTCATTCAATTGGGCCATCGATATACAGGAAAACTCGTCAAGATTGTTATCCAAACGCCCCAAATCTGGACCAGACCAGGTCGTACAAGGATTCAAGGATAGAAAGAGTCCCGTGCGCTCGTTTTATCTCCTTTACGGGTTTTCTGTTTCACGATGATCGTTTTCGTGTGGACGGAGATAAAAATATGGTTTTGTTTAAATCGTCTTCGTGTGGCCTGTTTTTCTCCTGTTTAATTCTCTCTTCGGGATTCAAGGATTTCGTTAAACGTTTCTGCCAGTTTTGTTAAATAGGCCTTTTTGGCCTGTCCCTCCCCAGTCCTCCCCTCCCTCCTCCCCGCAGCGATGACCATTGTTGTCATCCTAGCTAGCTCCCGCTCCTTTTCGCCTCCGGGCTCGCTTCTTCCCATATCTTACCCTTGCCTGGGGCGTTCGGGAGTGAGGGCTCCCACTGGGAATTTATTACCATTTTGAACTGTTCAAAAGGGAGCTTTAGCAACGACGACGGCTGGGGAAAATCTCTTTATAACATGAGTTCGTCTTAGAATTAACTTCGCATTTCATTAATCGATATATCTCTATTAATCTTTACTGATATTTTGTTTTGCTCTGTACACTTACGTTTATACCAAGCAAGTTTATGACATTTATGAGTACCAATGTATTTGTTGTGCCTGTTTCCTGACTTTTCACATTTTCAATTATAATTATAATTACGCTCACCTAACTAGTTTAGCTTTTTAGTTATTTCTGTATGTATTGTTTATTTATATTTTATACTTCTTGTAAATTCTTTTAGTTGTCTGTCCACGGTAGTAGAAATAAACCGATTGATTGATATCTCCAACTTTGTTGTGTTTTTTCCAACTCGTTTAAAATGTTAAATGTAGGTGAATTTTCCTAGCCTGCCACGCAGGCTAAATTTTCCTGAAGTTGAATTCTTGGGGACCACACCCAATTGTACAAAGAGAAAGAAACATTCTTCTTTGTGTGTTTACGTCCTGCAAAAAACGTCGCATAAGGAAATTTCACGTCTTGGTCGTGCAGGGGAGGCAAGAAAAATGTACCAAAAAACCCATTACTTTAAAAAAAATTTAACGTTCTCGTTTCCGTCGCTGTCATCTAGACTACGAGTAGTCCCCCATTCTTCCTCAGGGATAGTAGAGCGAGCGAAACGCGAGCGCGCGTGAAAATTAGCCTGCGTTGCAGCCGACCCATCTACTCGTCAAAACCATTTGTATAGTCCGAAGGTTTAAAGCGTCTGCAACGCAGGCAAGTGAAAATCACCCCACGCGAGAAAAGGCGACAAGCGCCGTGTCACCTTTTCTCGCGTGGGGTGATTTTCACGCGCGCTCTCGTTCAGCTCGCTCTACTATCCTTGAGAAAAAGTGGGGAACTACTCGTAGGCTACTGTCATCCGGCGTTGCTAAAGCTCCCTAACGTTACCCAGGCTCCGCAGTGGGGGAGAAAGGCTGAAAACGAGAGCAAAAAAATAAATGGCAGGGAAGCGAGTTTTTTCCCATCCCCAGACCCCAGACTACCGCTCGGATCGCTTGGCTCGCCTAAAACCTATTGCTAAAGCTCCTAAATAACTGTAAGTAAGACCATTCAAGCGAGAAAGGAAAATTGGTCATCAGGCGTTCTTTTTTTCAACAAATCTTTGGATTCAATGAGGTTCGTAAATATCGGCAGAGCATTATATACCAAAATTTCAACGCAAGTGTAGAGGCACAATTAAGCTTATTGATCCCATTATTTGCGTGACGCCTCCACTGCAGCTGTGGTTTCCTTCTGGTTACCATTAACAACACTAAAGATAAAGCATAGCTCAGATTTATAACTTCAATCGAATACAAAAATGAACAACAGCAAGATGTGTGTACAATAATATTGTTCACTTTTTTAAGAAAAATATACTTCCATAAAAATCTTTACCGTAAATAATAAATAATTGTCATTTATGGCCTCTATAGCTGGCGAAGGGCAGCTGACTGAGTTTGCAGTGGAATATATTAACACATTTATCTACAATGGAGTAGCAAGAGCAGGTCATTTGGACCAATAATTACAGCAATCAAACACTTCATATATTGTTAACATTGCTGAATGTCATTTTCAATGCACGTTAAAGTCGCCAAGTCAGCATCATCATCATCTTCACTGATTTCAGTGTCAAGCACAGGATATAATTGGCACTTGTAAAGCAGTACAAAGATGATCTTCTGCATGCCTGTGCCTGAAAAAGAAAAAAAAAGAAGTCATTTCAATTTGTGTAAGACAGACAGGTCTTTGCATACATATCCCGGGTACCAGAGAACTTTTTCTCACCGTATGCAGAGGAATGCTACAGTGTCGCTGTGTCACTACAAAGACATGACCAAAACTGGAAACTGTGCATGAAAAGTCTCTGGCACCCACGGTATTGCCCAGACATTAAAATGAAAAATAACCTCAGATCAGGCCCAATTTTAGCAGTTCTCAGTCATACATTCTCTGTAATGGCTACCGCCAAAATTGGCTCTGAATTTGTTTCACCTTGCCCGCCAGAATGTTGTTACAAAGCGAAACGAAAATTGAGCCTGATATAGGGTTAAATGAAAAATGGCTGGAAATTTTTTGCAAAACAGATGTGAATGTTTGTTTGTTTTTACTTTTTTAGTGCTTGACCTTTTGCTCAAAATTATAAAGGTTTGAGAATCATTAAAACAGATTATTTACACCCATGTTCCTTGTACTACTGACATCATGCCCAAATGAACATGATTAAGTCTTGAGTCATTCACAGGAAAAAAAAATTGATTCACTAACACCCCTACTATCTTTAAATATATTTATAGATCCTTGGTGTATTTGTGAAAACTTGTGACTTCTCATGGGAGAAAAGCTCACTAGAAGGCCTGCAAAAAGAGGAAACATGGAAGGGGAGCAACAGAAGAAAAGAAAGAAAGTGAGCTGTGACAAAATCCAAGATAGTAGAGTCATCTTCACACACCAGGAATGAAAGCCAGCATAGCATTAATTCAACTTGTAAAAATTAATCACGTTTTGGATCATTTGCCTCTTTTTCATTAGCCTGTGCAGCCAAGACATACTTTAGCACTTGATTAAGCTAAAGTTACTTTTTGGAGAGCTTGTCATAAGATAAGGGCTTCACTAGCTTCAAATGGCATTTTTGGGAGAAAAGTTTCTAGCAGCAAATGGGTTGATTCATTGGATTGCAATGTTTTATGCATAATACCAATGGAAAAAAAATGATTTCTTTTCATGGTGTAAATGTCAATCAAATGTTTCTCACCTTATACAGTGGTTCTTACGGCAGTCAGGGCACACAAATGGCATAAGACCATGCTGCCGACAAGTTTTCAAAGAACACTTGTTGCTTTTCTTTGGTTTTCCAACAACCAGGGTCTTGCAGCCACTGATAATATGCTGTTCTACCTATTTCATGTAAAACAAATGACACAATGACAACTGCAATGAGTAGTTGTACAATGAGGATGAAATCGGCCAATCATCTCACACATGCATGCCACTGTTTAAGATTTGTTTTGTTTTGCTTTTTTTTTAAAAAAGGAAAAGTATAACTTTTATTGTGATTCGAAATTTCAATAAACAGCCTGAATTTCAAACAATTACTTTGAGTAGTTTTCATTCCTTCAGTAATGTCTGAATCAACTGGCCGTTAATGCCGTCCAGTGACATCAATACTCCTTTGCTTTTCTGTTTTTTAAACGATACGGAAACATCATCCTTAAATCCCAGCACAATATATTCCAGTTGTAAAATAATACAGTCCACTTCTATGGGAGAGAATTAACTTCTTAAAATCAGTGCAAGAGATCACCATTAGTAAGCAACAACATTTCCAAACCAGAAAAATTCCCAGTCAAATCAATTTTAAGTTAACAGTTAAAGAACCATCTCTCATGAACAACCATGGCCAAAAGTACAAGCAAAAACTGCACAGTCTGATGCCTAAGTTTGCTGTATATGTACTATGAAACTTACAGTATAAGTCAAATTAAATTTTATAGAAAACATGGCAACTGCTCATACTGAAAATCAGGAATTTTGTGCACTACTCTATTAGTAAATAAAAAGATATGTGACCTTTTTATAAAGGAGACCACTTTGGTTTGGCAACATCCCATAAACCAACACCAAATTTTGGCATTTTAAGTGAATGCAGCTTTAATTAGAGGTACTTCTAACAACTTGCCAAAATTCATATTTAACATGTGACTCACCATCAGTAGGTACAACCACATTTCAGACAAATATGATTAGTTTAATTGCTCACCTGTCTATTGATATCTTCATCTTTGGATTTCTTTATGATTTGATTACAGATCGGACAAACAGGAACATGAACCTGTTGGTTGAGAAGCCAGAAATAAGCAAAAAGTACAATAAATTTGTGCTGCTGAAATACAACACATAGCTGCTACAGCAATATGAATGAATGAGTGGATGAAATGTCAAGTATGAGAGGACAAAAGATATGTCCCATCCATAAAAACTGTGCAGTCGCTTGACAGACATACAAAATCTGCTATATCGTTTGATATGTATCTTAACACATTAAGCAAAAGCCCTCTTCTTCGGAAAATTTTTATTTCAATCAGTTATGGTGCAGGATCAGCCCAAAAGACATGTCCCATCCATAAAAAAACGATATGAATGATGTTTGAAATATAGGCAGCCCATGATATGAATGATGTTTGAAAGGTAGACCATACCACCAGGGAAACATCCCCTGCTCTTTTCAAACTCTTTAGCATTGACTAATGAAATCTGAAGGATAAAGACGAGGCCAACAGCATAACCTCACCACCCAATAATGCGATCATCTGAACTGAAACAAGGTCTAGCTTAAATCACAGCCAGCCCGATCTTAACATCACCCTATTGTAAGGAAATCCAAGACAGTCTTCCATTCTGGACTTCACCCTGTGAAGTTTGGATTCCAGATACTGTATTCTGGATTTCAAAGCCCAGGAATTTGGATTCCACAAGGAAAAAAGTCCAAGATTCCAGATTCCACAATCAAACATTTCCTGGATTCCGGAATCTGTATTCCCTTACATAAAGCGATTACCAGTATTTTAAAGAACCAAAGAACCTGGTTTATAATCCAGTTCTGGTTTGAACCAACATCCTCCTGCTCAAGGGACTGGTTCTCTTTGAAAGTTACTGGAACTTTTCAGGCAGTAGTGTGGGGGAGGGGTTTTATCAAGACCACTTGAAACCCCCAGTCTCTGCAAAAAGCAGGCTGGAGTAAAATTCAAGTAACTGTTACTTTTTATTTGGCACTACTTACATCAGATGTAACGACATCTCGACATTGATGGCCTTCAGGTGTGCGATGATCCAAACTAGTAGGAAACAAGAAACTCAAGTTAACAGTGAATAGCAAGGAGCATAATCATCCTACGTAAAATCATCATTTCCTTTCTGTTATTAATTTCTCATAAAAAAGAAAAATATAAATATTAAATACCTAATATCTGAACAATAAATTAGTACAGTAGAGAAACAAAAGGTGAATCTAGTTTCAAGTTTCAAACTTTAAACATGGCCATTGGTCGAGCTGAAACTTTGAAAAAAAAATGATCAGAAAGGCATCTTTGTGGCTCAAAAAAAATTTTAAGGCTGAGAATTGATTCAAGATTCTTTGACACTCTGTAAAGACTCTATATTGTATTCTATAACCTCTCAAAAATGACACTACAAACGGGACTAGTTAAAGCTAGCCCCAAAATGAAAGTTACCCTACTTTCCAGTGGTGGATGTTCTTCCCCCACAGTCAGAAGTGTTCAGTAAAATATTTTAAAAAACCGTTACCAGAAAATCTCTTTGCAATGTGAGCATCTGAAAGGTAGAAAGTCGAGCCGTTTACAATCCTTTAAACTACAGTGTGTTCCAAGGGAAAGCAAATCCGCTTTTTCCGCCATAACTGAGCTTTCATCCAAATGTTACGATTCACAGTTCTGATCAGCTGTTTAAATAGATTTTGCTGAGTCATTATTATGGTACTTTTTCGTCACTTTTGCTCAGTCACCGGGTCAGTCACGTCCAGAAAATTCTGGAATAAGAAACCGCTGAAAAGAAGTTACTACCTTATATATTGGTCACAGAGTTTGTCACAGATGCATCGCGCTACTTTTCGGTTTGTAGTCGTCTCCTTCGCAGACGTACCGTAAAACTCCGAAAATAAGCCCCGGGGCTTATATTTTTCAGAGGCCCTTGAGGGACTTATGTACGGAGGAAAATTTGCGTTTCAAAATCGATTGAACTAGCTTGTGGTGGGAAGGAATTTTGCTTTGTTTCACTTTTGAGGGCAAGTCCAAGTACAAGCCCCCCCCCCAGGGGGGCTTATATTCAGAGGGGTGATTTAACGGAGGGTTTTTTGCTTTACGAGTTTGGAGGGCTTTTCTTTGGAGGGGCTAAGGGTTTATTTTCGCACTTTTACTCTATTTCAGGGTAGTCACGCAACGCTCCTCCTCAGTTCAAAAAAATAGGGAGGAGCGTTGGTTGACGACCCTAAAAACGGCTACAAAGACTGTGAAGGAGACTGCTACAAAATGTAAGAGCTGGAGATAGCTTTTAGGTGGAGGCGCCCGTAAGTTGTGTCGTCACGCAACGCTTAAGGTGAGGAGCATTGTGTGACGACACAGTAAAACGGCTGCGTTGGAGACTACGTATATCCCAACTTGAATTTCAATTTTTAGGATATCCTTCACATGAATTGTACATCTGAATAATATCTAAATATGCAAAGCTTTGTTTTATCTGTAGCCGTGATATCATGAGCTCTCATGGGAGTGCACATATCTGGGAGCGCCTAATGTCGCTTACGTTACTCACGCAAGGTCACATGGGACCTCATTGTGCAATAGTGTGCGAGAATGCAGCTGGGGTTTGTTGCTAACAGAGTACCTATGAGTGAATGAACTCGTAGTCAACACATTGTTTACCGTTTGCAGTAAGGAAAGCACTGGTTATTGCCACCTACGACATCATGGCTAAGATAATAGGTAAGGTTAAATGTTCGTCAGAAAGTTAGCAATCCTTTGTTGCGTTTATGCTGTGACATTTCTGATCGTGTCAGCTGGTTTTTTGAATGATAATGAATGGTATGACTATGAGTTGCGTTGTCCGAAGATTATAAGCTTAAATTTTGTAGTATGACTGAGATGATTCTAGTTCTGAGATTTTTGATATTTGTTGATATTTTTTGTAGCTGGCCCTGTTGTTGAGATGAAAGGCGATGAAATGACGAGGTATGGAAAAATGATGGATAAAAGGAAGAGTTGACAAGCTTTTATTCTCTTCAGTAAAAATGTTAAGTGGAAATTCAAACTGGCACTATATTTCTGTTAAGGGAGTACATTTACTAAGCCTATATTTTGCACTAACGGCAGATCCAAAAATAAATTTCTCGTCGGCGTTTATCGTTAATTTGTTCATTAAAGTTGTATCCATATAATTAATTCATTCGCCTTGAGAGTAAAATTACTGATCTCGTCATGGGTCCAAGCCGTATGAATCCTGCTCTGAAGCCAATTTCATGACAGCTTTAAAAATGGCATGTTTTGTCGTAAAGTCGAGTTGCAAAGAAAAGAATAGTCGGAAAGAACGCGGAAAATCGTAGTGGGCTTTCGAAAAATACTTCCTTACGCATGCAATATTTTTTATTGCATATAAATTTGCTATGCTTCGCAACACATAAACTAAGCTTATTGTGCATCGAAAAATTCCGAACGCAGTCATCCCACTCCGAGCAACGTCTTGTTGTGAGCATTTGACAATACTGGAAACCTGCCTTGTCCAGTATTTTAGTGTGTGTGTTTTTTGAGTGCTTATTGTGGATTTTTATTTATTAAGTTTTTATTCTCTACAAATGATCGAAGACGATGAACCTATTTATTGAACTTTGTTATTTAGTGAAATTCATGATCAGCATCCTTTCATATCCGTGCAACAAAATAGTGCGTCAGTATGATAACTCTTTTTTTTATTATTTGCATTACAATATATTACAAATACATTACAATACGATAGACTATAAACTTAAACGCTCTAGTAACTATACAAAAAATAATAAGTGCATTCCAAGGACACACGTTTAAGGGTACAGAGTCCAAAGGCAGAGTCCACTTCTTATTAAATTTGTCCATTTTATCAGTTTTAACACATACATACTTTTCTGTTTCATACTTGATTTTAACAACTCATATCTTTTTAGCAATGATAAGTGTGATAAAAAGACTGTGGTTCCACATGGGTGGTTTTAGCATGGCCAAGCCAGACTTGCAGCAAAGAAAAGTCAATATCTGCTATCAAATTTAGATGCCCAGAGCTTTTCTTCACCAAAATCATCCTTTTAAGCAGGGGATTATTTTCTTGGTTTTTGGTTAAAATCTAGACAAAGCAAGTGCCTTCGCGAGGTTCTGCGATACACGTATTTCTAGTAAAATTAATAATCTTGTAGCCTGTGAATACAGCCGTTTCTCCTTGCTCCTCGCTTGTAGGGACGTTTCACCCGACTTAGCGACAGAAATTCCATACTGACGATGTAAATCAATGTTTACATAATAAATCCGGTAGTCATGGTGTTCCAAATGTAAATTTGTTTGAGTTTTTGTTTCGCCTGGTAGGTTATGGTAAAGTTTAGTGTTCTTCTGCAAACAAGCTCCAGCAAAACTTGGCTGGATGCTTTTTCTAAAGAAGAAGATATTCTGGGAATATTGACTGTTTTTGTAGTAGATTCATCACGTTTACATCTGAACTTTGTGGCCCTTTGTCTGTCATTCGTAAACAGTAGGTAAAACAATATAAGTACTATGTCAAACAATCAGAGCTCCTGACAAGATTCCAGACAGATTTTACGTCATCAGTCTCGAATTTCTGTCGCTGACTCACAGATTTTCCTCCAGGCGAAACATCCTTAGCTGCAAGGAGCAAGAAGAAATGGCTGTAGCCAAAGGCTACTAATATCTCGTAGCCTGCCCCAGGCCAAAGATAGTGGGGACAATAGATCAAAAGAAAATGTGCAAAACCACTTGACTGAGTAGATTGAGGTATTTAAGAAGTTGCTTACAGCTTTTCTCCTCTCTACCGGCTGTTTTTCATTCACTTCCTTTTTCCGCTGCTCACTCGGTTTTTCACTCGTCTACATTTTGACCGAGAGCCTGGCACAGGCTACTTGTCTTGTCTCTTGCTACCTTCCGCCCTGTTAGGGCATTCAGCTTTAGTGGGTTGGTATATCAATTTTGTCATTAATTATTGTGGGTCTAGCTTCTAGTTTTTCACAACCAACAATTGCATATAGGGCCAAGTTGGAAGGAAAATGGGGTGTTTTCACTACAAATAATAATGATGATGATGATGATAATAATAATAGTTATAATTAAACCTGGATTTTTTAAAACCGTGTTAGCAAAAAAAACAACTCAATCTACTACTTAGCAATTTAAAACAATGAAAAAGCCTTTAAAGGCCTTTATCTGATACTAGGCAGTAAGTTAGTGGCCCCTAGAAACATTTTGCCGAGTCCATAACAACATTAGGCTTACGTTACTTAATTAGGTAGCAAAACACTGCTTTTTTCTCAGGCTGATAAATGACAGGATTTTGCATGAAACAGACAACAAACATTGAAACATAGTGCACAAATTATTATCATGTGATCTGGAAAAACCAGCCTACAGTGTATATATGGTTCAAAACAAAGTACGTGCTGAAGCTAGCCCTAGATCCAGTCACATGGGCGGCAAACCAGCGTAGACTCTGTTTTCACCTGCAATTTTGCTTTCACTTAATAGATTTGACTCCTAGAATCCTATTTCCAGGGCCAAAGACTTAGGGCACTTTCCATTTGTCAGAACTGACTGGCCAGACCATTCCTGTAGCAATGAGAATCTCTCTTTTCATCAAATCTATCCGGCCAGATCAATCAAATCTTGAATAGTATAGATGAAGGAGGTGGGTTTTCATTATTGTCAAATGTCTGGCCGGCCAGTTCTTACTTTTGGAAAGTGCCCTCAGTGGTCCCCTTAGAAAAGCGGACAATATCATACTTTTCTGTCTCAGTCCCGATCAGGGTGATTGATCCATTTAGCTAAATGAAACGAGATTATGGTTCGATGTATGGCGATGCAGACTCTGTGGATCGTATCAACTTTTTCCCATTTCAGAGCTTTACATGATGCTCTCCAGGAAGCTTTTCTCAGGGTGAGCAACAACAAAATTTAAACTGCTAAGCAGTACCAAAGCCAGCTTTAGGCACACACTGATTTCAAATAATATTACTGTCACTTGTGGTAGAGATAGAATTGTGGGTTAGGAATGGAAAAAGACCAAAGGGGGATAGAGGGAGGAGAGGGGGGAGGTTAGATAGAAATTCACGAAATTCTGTGCACAGCCACTTCTACATCCAACCATGAAACAACCAAGATAAGATGCAACATAAAGAAACAACACAGTAAACAGGCTAAGACAGGGGAAGTTGAGATTTTTTACAAAATGTTTGCTAACCCGGTTTTCAAAAATCCAGGTAGAATAATCTTATATTAATAATAGTAATTTGCATGTTAACAACTCAACTGCAGAACTCAATTTGACCAGCTTTTCCATCATTTTTTTTGTTCTTTCAGGATAATATGGGAGCTGATCAAGGAAAAGCTTCTGTTTCCTTATGTGGATATGGACATTAAGTCCTATGATCTTTCAATCCAAAACAGAGATCAAACTGATGATAAAGGTGAGATTGCAGTAGTACTATATACTGCTATTTGTGCTGTCTAAAGGATTTCACCTTTTTCACTACTAGGCAAGACTTGATACCTGAGATCCAGAGGTTTCTCCCATTTTGCTTACCACAATCTTGTCATCATCAACACACCCAGGTTCTCCTCGCAGAGTCAAAGCTCAAAAAAAGTCTCATCCGTTAGTCCAGGACAAGGAGATTTTCTTGCTTGGCAAGTAAAATTAAAAGCTGGTCCAGGCAAGTTAATCCTCCAACAAAATCGTAAGGATAAGCAAGAAACGGCTCCTGTAGGCAAGAGAAATTTGAGTGCTGCTTGCCAAAAGGACAAGTTGGATTCAAGTTATATTTTTTCAAGCCCTGTAGAGTCCCACTCTCCTTTCCTCTAAAAGGCCCAGTCCTCTAAATAACTCACTCTCTCTTCCGAAGAAAGCCATGGTAAACTGGGATTAAAACAACAGACATGTACTTCTGAGACAAGAATTTAAGGCAAAGAAATACTTAACTCCTGTATTGTTGTGACGTTTAGTTACCATAGAAGCAGCAGAAGCAGTGAAGAAGTACAATGTTGGCATCAAGTGTGCAACAATTACTCCAGATGAGAAGAGAGTTGAAGGTCAGTTTTGAGACAGAACTCTTTCAAAGGGTTGTTGTGTTTACTTAGTAGCACTAAAAGTGACTTTTTGAACTTGGCATAATATCGTTCCCTTGATTTATCATAATATAATATTACCAGAACTGATTGATAGGTTCCTTCTGTAGGTACCAAGGCACAGATTACGTACTTACAACAAAAGAAACAGTACAACCAAACAATAAAGCCCTCTGCAGGAGAACTCTTTTGTTAAGTTCCTTTGTTTCTTTTGTGATGACGGTACCTGCAGAAAGACCCGATTGATAGCTTTCTTTAAACATTACAATGAGTATTATTTTGAAGCCAGTAGAATATATGGGTAAACAAGAACAATGCAAGTATAGATCAACATTTGTTTCACTTTCTTGTTTCTTTCTCCAAATCGCTGTCTTTCTCAAAATAAATCAAGGGAAGAATTTAAGATGAGATTAAAAGGCACTTAGTTGATTTTCGATGCAACCCTTCGAACATTACTTAATTCATTTCTGTTTTATTGATATTTTTCTATGGTTTGAGTTTAAATTTTTGCTTTCTGCAACATGTAATCACTGGAATTACTGTAGTCTGAATACATGTTTTTTCAATGAATTAATTTTAGTTTCTTGTTCTAAAACCCAGAGTTTAACTTGAAGAAAATGTGGAAATCACCAAATGGAACAATCCGTAATATCCTTGGAGGAACAGTGTTTAGAGAAGCCATTATCTGTAAGAACATTCCGAGATTAGTTTCTGGATGGACAAAATCAATCATCATTGGTCGTCATGCTCATGCTGATCAGGTACATGTACATTAAAAAATTACTTAGGCTGCCTACAGCTCCAATCATCTTCCAATCATCATATTGTACGAACAAATTAATATACATGTATCTTAATTACCGGTAGTTCCATTTGAAATCTAGCGTGTTTTTTTTTTCATTTTATTGAATGTGTCATGTCCTCCCTAATCAAGAGATTAAATAAACTTGCCATACAAAAGCTAATAAACAGAATGATATTATGTGGAAGTAAAGAAATCAGAAAAAAACTTGAATTATAATGAAAGTTACAACAAAAAAGAAGGAGATAAACAACGTACAAAAAAATCAGTGATAAAGGTATGTATTACTACTTTAGAAGAGAGGTCAAAAACCATACCCTGTCCAGCGGCACATCCCCGTAAGGCCATGTAAGGGAGTACCCCCAGGATTAACCTCCACTATTGGATGAAAACTAGTGAAAATGCTGTGAAAAATATGTGAAATACCCTGTGACAAGAAAACACCCTGTGAAAAACCCTGTGAATTTTGCACAGCCTAAATTTTGAGAAAATTTCAAAATTTAGGACCCTGTGAAAAAACCTGTGACTAAAATAAGCCTGTGAAAAAACCCTGTGAAAAAACGTATGATCAAAGTTTAAGAAAATTTGCTAAAAAACACTTCTGAAAAATCCTGTGAAAGAACCTATGAAAAAATTTTGAGAAAATTGCTTAAGAAACACCTCTGAAAAACCATATGAAAATAGATCAAAGGGATATCTTGATGTTATGTAAATCATTAACACAGGAATAGAAGGCCTGACAAACAAGAGTTCATGTGCCTTTTTAACTTAGCTATTGTCTACAGTCATTTGAGACATAAAGCTCTAACTCTTGTCTGACTGATGTTGGTATGTATGTTTTAATTCCTTCAGTACAAAGCAACAGACTTTGTTGTCCCTGGTCCTGGTAAAGTAGAGATGATGTACACACCTTCTGATGGCAGTGAACCAGTTAAATACCTTGTACACAGCTTCTCCGGTGATGGTGGAGTGGCAATGGGAATGTTTAATACAGATGAGGTAAAACTTATTTTATTGAAATATCATAAATAATTACGTATTGTTGTTTTCTTTTGAAAATATGCTTTGACCTTTTGGACAATGAAAATAATTTTTAGTTGGTATCAACAAAACGGTATGTTGAGTGGGGCATGATATACAGCTGCACGTTATGCACAGCTAGTGGTCTATCATTAAAAAAAAACTGAAGTCTCTTACTACATGTACACAAGTGTTAAACACAGCAGCGCTTCTTTCAGATTTTACTGATGTTTAATTATGTCATGACATTCTATCGACAGTCTATCAAGAATTTTGCCCACAGTTCGTTTCAGTATGCACTACAGATGGGGTACCCGTTATACATGAGGTAAACTTACTTTTTACCCAGGTTTTTGTAGAGTGATATTCTGTTCCAGGCTTTGAGAAGAAAAATTTAACCTTCAACTTATTCGCCTCTGAGCCACCCGTAACCGCCCATGTGGATCTATGTCCCTTCTATCGCTTGTGACGTCATCAGTTTTAATGGTCATTGGTCAAGGACAACTTTGTCCACTAACTTGTGCTGGAGTGAAGAGATCTTTCAAACCATACCAGAATGAGCAAAATTCAGTCAAGGACACTGGAGAAAAAGGCAAAAAAACATGTTACATTCACCTGAAAATTTCCATGAAAATCTTGTTCCACTACCCGTGGTCCCACTTTCCCTTTCATCTAATCCTAAGATCCTAAAAGCTTTCCTAAAAACTTTTCCCACCAAAATGAAGCCTACTAAATGCCCAGCAAAAGAAAAAAAAATGAGGTAAGAAAAGCGAAATAGGAGGGGAGGAGAGAAAGCGAAGAATAAACGTCAAGACTGCTGTGTTACTTTTAAACCCCTCAAAATTTTGTTTTCTGCACATGCCCAAACTTCGTAAGGTAATAGTTTACATCTGGATCAGAAGGCCGCGAAGTGTACAAACTGTAAATGGCTTTATGGTACGCTTTAGCTCCTTATAGCACGACAGTGACCAGAAAACCGCTTGACTAGCTTTAAAATGCGTTTTTGGCAAATTTTTCCAGGGGCGAATGGGTTAATGTACTCAATTTGTTCATGACAGTGACATATTGAGCTGCTCAATCAAACTAGATCCTCACTCAAAATGTCCCTTGGGCTTGTATTACAATATGTCAATTGGGTAGTGAAGAGGGGAGGGTCATAGATGTCTACTTTTGCTACTTTTCCTACTGTATTTCAGTTGCTATGTATAGCCAGAAAACTATGCCCAATTACCACATTGTATTTAAAGACTCTTTACTACCAGATTTAGTGACGGCATTCTATGATAGTGTCCTAAAAAGTTACATCTTCACTTGTGGTTGCTAGACATATCATAGGTTAATGTTCACTACCTGATACACTGGAAGGTACATGTAAAAGCCTTATGTGAATTGAAAACAAATGCACAATTCAATATCTTTAGAACATATTTGTTTAATTAAAGCACTCGTTTCATACGAAGTTAAACCTGTAAATTCCCTTGAGATCAGCTTACTGATGAACCTCCAGTAACGGCCACCTCTCTACAATGGTAACGCCCACCTCCACGTGCACCAAAATACCGAAATAACCTCTCAATAATGGCCAGTTTTTTCAGTGACTGATGACGAAAAAGTCAGGAACGGTCGCAAAATATGATCCGTCTGGTGTGTTGATGATGAATCGCGGCAATCGTGTTTTAATTGTGTTCCATTTATTCTGCTGCAGTAACCCTAAATTGTCTTGCAATACTTCACAGTGAATGGTGCGAGCCTTGCCCGTTTTGTCATGTTAACATTTTGATTCAAAACATTTACGTTTTTTGTGTATTTTATCTCTATTTTCATTAATGATTGGATTACCATTATGGGATACAGTCACCAAGAACTGAGCGCAATAAACATGTTGCACTCCCTTAAAAAGAATTTTCATATTCCACCCCTACCTCTCCATAACGGCCACCGCTCTCCACAACTGCCACTTTCTTTTGTGCCCCAAGGAGGCCGTTGTGGAAAGGTTTAGCAGTATTTATTTAATCCTCCTTGACTCAATTTAATATCTTTTTCAGCACAAAGAACACAATTTTGAAGAAGTATGATGGCAGGTTCAAGGACATTTTCCAAGAAATTTATGAAAAGTAAGTTTCCAAAAATCATACCGCTGATTATTGCGATACAAAAGGAATATTACAGATTGTCACATTTTGGACTGTTAAAGTGAGTTAGAATAGAACATATTTTTAATTGGATAGAAGGGATTTGGGTGTCTGGTGTGGGAGAGGGTAGGGACAATAGGCAGGAACGTGGCTTTGTCTGCGCCCGTTAGAAGTGTATTAACACGTATTTCTGATGTAAACTTGTTTTAATTTTTCATTGGTTATTTGCAGAGACTATAAAAAGAAGTTTGAAGAGAAGAACTTGTGGTATGAACACAGGTTAATAGATGATATGGTAGCATATGCTCTCAAATCTGAAGGTGGCTTCATGTGGGCGTGTAAGAACTACGATGGTGATGTACAGTCGGATTCTGTTGCACAAGGTCAGTGTCCGGGTTTGGGGAGTGGGGGAGGTACTCAAAAAGGTTTTATACAGGGAGGCTCCGCCCTGAGGTCCAACTCTTTATCGTTCTGTATACCATTTTTGACAGAGAGGGTACTCCTTTTATATACCTTTTATTGACAAATGGTACCCTTTTTCAAATACTTAGTTTAGAACTGTGCATCGCTTTTAACTGCTGAAAATGCACTGTGAAAGTTTGAGTAAATCACAAGACCAGACTGTTTTCTTGACTTTTTCACAGTCATAAAATGCATCTGTGAGCCATTTTAAGCCTTTTTACCCACCGAAATGGCAGATTTCCCTACCCTTTCATAAATCTCAACTAGCCAAATCCCCATCCTTGCATATATCTGAAGCCTGAAAAAGGTACCCCTTTCGGGCGGGCCTCCCTGTATAGGCCATTACAGTGAGTATGCCCGGGGATCAGTGGTTGGTTTTGTCATTGACTATCTGAATCCATTCTAACCAATCACGGAAAAACTGATTAAAGAATGAAGAACGTTTTCTCGGAAGTAGCCTGCGTCCATGGCGGTTTTATGAGGGAAGGGTAACTGAGAGGAGGGCAAGCCGGCGGAAGCAGTGCTCATTCTCGTGGCTTTGTGGCTCGCTCAGTCCTCTCCTCAGCACAACTGCTGCTAGCTACCGAGGGTTTTTTTCAATAGTTTTCTCTTTTGTTTGTTTTTGTTTTTGTTTTTTTTTTTCTTTCAGGAAATGAACCGGGCACAAATCCAGACAATTTTAACTGTTTTGCAGAAAACAGTTAAAATTGTAAAAATTTTATTGGTAGGAATTCATGAATGGAACCTTTCTAGAAGCAGGCTTTGTATCAAAACGTTCTAAGACATTTCTTTTACCATCTGGCAGTCAAGTTGTCCAAAGATTCCGCTCAAAAGTGAGCTGTTCAATATCTTTCAAACTACACTTCAATATCTTTCCAACTACACTGTAAAAATTCCGGTCTAACTCACCCACAACCTCGTTCTTACGGTTCTCTCCTACCCGTCCCTGCGGAGCGAGAGAGAGAGAGACGGGTAGGAGAAAGGACGTGGAAACGAGGTTGACTCACCCGGGGTTAATCCTTTTTTGTTTTCTTCTGAGTAATTTACGGATCGTGGGGATGTTTTGCAGGTTTTGGTTCACTGGGAATGATGACAAGTGTTCTTGTTTGCCCTGATGGCAAGACAGTGGAGTCTGAGGCAGCTCATGGAACAGTAACAAGACATTACCGCATGCATCAACAGGGCAAAGAGACCTCGACTAATCCAGTCGGTAAGAAACCAGACTGTTCACTGTTCCTTATTTTACCGTAAGACCGTCGAGATCAAAGACTTTGCGTTACGGGCGGCCATCTTGGATGAGCATCAAATCTACTTAGGGAGCGGGGGCACGGTTTGAGAGGAGACGAGAAAGTGCCTCTGTCCCCCTACCTCTATAAACCCCGACGCCCTCTCCCTCGGTACATATGAAACCAAGATGGCCCGGTCAAGCCCGATTTTTTTATGGTTTTTTTTCAACCGCTCAGGTTGTTCATTCTGCTGTGAAGATCATGTTCACTTTAATAACAGGCTTCTCTTCATTTCATTTTAAGCTTTTACTGTAACATTCGTGCATTTTTTTGCTAGCCTGCTAGGAAGCTTCATTGTTTGCATGAGCATAGGCCACAGGGCAATTCTTTTTTGTCCTTATGAATTATCTGTTGTGTGTCTTATTTGTCTGCAGCGTCAATTTTTGCTTGGACACGAGGCTTGCTTCACCGAGCCAAGCTTGATGGTAAGTAAATGTCAAGTACCTGAAGGAACCTGACGAAAACCATTCTTTAGACTTCAATAAATGGACCAACTTTCATGAACGCATTTTGATTTGGGGGAAAATGTCATGAGCTAGGTAAACAGCTGGATAAAAAATTTGGAGAAATTATAAATGAAGTTTTAGAGAGTGTAACGAAAACAAAAAACCAACATGTTAAACTCTCTTTGGTTGTAAATACCGGCCCCTCTGCATCGAAATTTGCCCTCCGAGTTTATGTCTGTCCCCCAGTTCAGCTCTTTTGAATTCATTTTCTTCGCACTTCATGAAGAGAGGTATCTGCTTAAGAAATAAAACCGGCAGAAGGAGGAAAAGACGGAAATAAAAAATGGCTCTAAAAGCAGCACAGCTTTCGTGTTCACCACCGCTATCATGAATTAGAGCCCGTTGTATACTGGCGCTAGGCGCAAAACTCCGGACGGGCAAGAAATCACTGGGACGTTCCAGAGCGAGCCGGCGCGAAATGTGAACGGAATCACGCAGACTATTTTTGTTATTAATAAAATGTTTTTTTTAGTACGTTGCCGTTAAGGTGAAAATTTGAATCTTATCAGCTAATTTGGGTGCTCTTCATTCATATCGGTCTCGGAGAAAATTAAAAGGAATAAAACAGGTGTTCACCAAATCGCCTGGTTGCAAAAATGTTAAGACAACACCATAGCCTCTGAGACCATTCTCAACTGCTCATGTGACTGAGGTACCATGGCTATGTTTTTACCATTCTTGAGTAATGTAACTGGATTGTGGTGTAAAATTAGACATATCAGTAACTTTGTATCTGTTGTTACTCCAGGGAACGACAATCTTACAAACTTTTGCCGTACTTTAGAAGAAACCTGTGTTGATACAATCGAAGCTGGTCACATGACTAAAGATCTTGCTGGCTGTATCAAAGGATTGCCGAATGTTCAGAGATCAGATTACTTGAACACATTTGAGTTTCTTGATAAAATAGCTGAGAATCTGGCTGTCAAATTGAAGCAAACCCCGAATCACCATTTGTAGGGTAGTTACTTTCTAGTACCGTAAAATTCCGAAAATAAGCCCCTCCATATATAAGCCCCTCCAAATATGATCCCCCCCAAACCGGTAACGCAAAAACCCTCCGTTAAATCGCCCCTCCAAATATAAGCCCCTCGGGGGCTTGTGCTTGGAAAATTGCCCTCAAGTACAAAGTAAAACAAAGTAAAAACGGTAAATTTCCTTCCAACTATAAGGCTAGCCCAATCGATTTTGAAACGCAAATTTCCCTCCGTAGATAAGCCCCTCCAAAAATAAGCCCCTCATGAAAAATATAAGCCCCGGGGCTTATTTTCGGAATTTTACGGTATTTGATATGTAAGGAAACATTTTGCCCTTGAATAAATTAAAACGGTTACGCTAAAGATAATGTGACGACACATTAGTGACCTTCTACATGTAGGTAATATTGCAATTCAATTTTTTCGGTTAGTTTTTTTACTCATTTTGCTATCCAAATATGTGTTTTATTTTAATTTGTGTTAGAGGATAACTTTAGTTGTTATCAAGTTGACTATTCCGTGACTTTGAAAACAAAAAGCTCATATTTTTAATAATATTAAATTGATTATAGTTGTTAATTTAATTTTTTTAAATTAGACTTTGAGCAAAATCAAAGAAAACGAAAATAATATTTGAAATCTGACCAAACACAGATGTTATTACATACACTCATGCGCACCCCAACTGATTAACTGCAAATCTGCAAATACAAAAGAATAATTTTTCTGTACTGACAGTAAAATTGGGTTTTATTTGGATGCTTTAGATTTCTTCGGTGTCTGTATCTATTGTTTTTTAATGGTTAAGTCCAATTCAGTTTTCTCTTAGTTGTATTTACAGTACAGGACGTTATTTACCATAGTCACTTTATTGTTTTACCTGTGCACTCACTTTCGAGTTAAAAAATGTGAACATTTTCGCAACCTGAATAATAAAGATACAGCCTTCAATGTGTTGCGTCAGTAGCTAATAAATCATTATATATTTAGTGACCTTTAAATTCTTAATTTGACTTAAAGTTCCTTTTCGTATTCTCGAAAAATAGACACTCCGGAAAGCTTCATTTCACTTTTTTTTTTCTCACAGGAAAATATAGCACTGTAATCTTTTTTGAAGGAGGTTGCGCCCTCCTCCGATCGCAAAATGATAAAACTAAAAATGTTTCGCCCTTTTGTTCCTCATAACCAACGAGCGCTTACCATATTTGGAAGATACGATCAATATACCATCAATTAGATGATATATTTGATTGGAAACGAGGCTGATCGATTGTATACAGTGAAACCTGTATTAAGCGGACACCGTATTAAGCGGACAGTAGCCGAAGTCCCCAAATTTACTTCCCTTATTTACTTTAAATGAAACCTTTATTAAGCGGACACCTCAATTAAGCGGACGCGGACACCCAAAAAGTACCTGAAATGGTAATTTCTATTGTTGCCAACCTGTATTAAGATAGCCTCGAATTGTCACCCACAAATTTTTCGATTTTTACATTAAAAAATGTGACTTGACGAACTTATTTGATTAGTTTCCCAGTACAGTATTGTTTTCTATTTCGTTTTGTTTGTATAGAGCTTTTTTCACTCATCTGATTTCTTCAAATTTGAGTTGCAATCTATGTTTAAGGTACTATGATCAATTGGTCCACTTTGATAAAGAAATTCATGCAAACGTATATCGTCATAGTCTCTGTGAGTATTCTAAACTTTTCCACTGTTCATTTGAATGGCATTTGACACCTCATATGGCGTTATCTATTGAAACCTGCATTAGGCGGACACCCTGTATTAAGCGGACACTACAGCTTTTCCCGAGGGTGTCCGCTTAATACAGGTTTCACTGTATTTGATTGGAAACAAAAAACGAGGCTGTTGAACTGGTAGGGCTATATACCGTTATGTGTTACTCTCGAAAAAATGAGAAGGAAGCCCTTACGTCTTGTGGGTAAACCTAGCATATACCGCATGACATATCAGTACAGTGAGTCGCTCTTTCTTTAGAAGGGAAAAGCCTATTAGAAGGTGCGCTTACTTCCCTTCACAGTTACAGTCAACCCAAGTCAAGCGTACCCCCAAGACATTAATGAATTTATCATTAGAAAGTTGAATCCGTTGGTAGTTGCAGATTTCAGATTCATGTCTGCATTCTTGCATGCGTGATGAGCCGTGAATTCACACTCGAAATTTCTACCAGCTAAGTTTCCCTGAATTTGACGTAAATGCCTTCTATGAAATTTAACCCATTTAAAGATTTTCAATCTGACCAAATACAGAGAAGTTCTCGTAAAATATTCACTGCTCTGCTCAGTACGCATGCAGGAATGAATTTAACACTAATTACCGGAACGACTAACGGTTCATTTTTCAAATAATCAATTCATTAATAGAATCTTAGGGGGTACGCTTGACTTGCCTCGACTGTATATAATGGATTTGGGCAGGCAGGGGTTGGGGCTAATTCGAGCATTGACGGTTCTTTAGAAAATATGAGAATAGAGGGAAGAACTCACGAACGTTCCTACGGGCTCTTCACTCGGTTATAACTACGAGTACTCCCTTGTTTTCCTCAGGGATAGTAGAACGAGTGAAATACGCTAGCACGCGTGAAAATCGCCACCCGCAAGGAAGGTCACACGCGAAGGGAAGCGAGCACCTCCCTCCGCGTGTCACCTTCCTAACTGTGGCGATTTCCACATGAACTCGCGTAATTAACTCGCTACGCCTGAGGAAAATGAGAGACTGCTCCTAGTCTTCTATCTCCTTGTTTCAGTAAAGTGGAGGCGTCGGTCAGTTTCCTCTCCTTATTCGGGCCACACTTCTTGGATGCACATAGATAACCAAATTTTCTTACCTATGGTGCTCCGCTGCGAGCGCTTCGCGCGCGAGAGAACTCCGCTATTAACTACTGTCAGAGCTTATGTAATCGCGTATTCGCGTAAGTCTTTTCATGCTTTGGTCAGCAACTGGAAAGGTTAAGAGTTCTAGAGACATAACCAGCTCGAAATTTAAAGTTACTACTCGTACGTACAAACTCGTTCTTTAATAAAATCAATATCTTTTAAACAGTAACGCTCCGTACTAATTACAATAATTACATAAAATATTTCGAAATAACAACTGTAAAAAAAAATTGCAAAATTTTCATATATCCAAGGTCAATTGCGAGAAACACGGTCTGTTTAGTTCCTGAAACTAATTTGAACATATGAGAATTTTACCCGTGGCAGAAAATATTTGAACTGGGTATCAGTTTTAACGTTTTTCTTCTACCCTTAAGCGCCTTCGTGATTTTTAATTTTCTTAAGAATTATTTTAAAAGTTTCACATTTTTATTTCACTTTGAATTCTGACCTTGATGTTGGCCCTTAGTTTAAGCTGATCAATTTGCTCTAGGCGGAAAGCTCAGTCGAGCTATCAAAAAGTCAGCTTTCGACCTGTTTGAAGCAACATATTGCAACACTGATATGTACGGTTTACGTTGATTACTAGACCTGTTCCCAATTTGGGTTTGACAACCAACTTGCAGAGTCTAGAAATAAAAACGAATCCTGATAATTTTTGGCATGACCTAGTCATTACATGGGTTGGTTCAAATTACTGCTCTAATAACTCCTAACTAGAATAACGCCCGGGGGGGGTACTGCCATATATGGGCTATATAGGTATGTGCCGCTGTGAAGGGTATGGTTTTCAAGCAGTTTACTCTGGGATAGGGTATATAAATCAGAGCGTTTGGCTCTAGAATAGGGTATCATTTTTCAGGAAACTGATCAGTTGGTTGAAGATTTTATCTAGACTAGGTACACAGCTACTCTAGGATAGGGGGATTTGGAGATTTTACTCTAGTATAGGGTAGCAAAATTCAGCTGAACTACCTCTGGTAAAGGTTAAGGGTTCCAGGCTCCCAGCGGCACATCCCCACCCAGAAATTCCTAAAGTACCCCCCCCGGGGAATAACGCCACCGACGTTTAAAGATCCTTTCTGAAATAAACCCTCCAGTAAAGCTAGGGCCACCAGACTATAAGAAACCTACACTTTTATTGGCCTTTGAAACAACGCGGCTTACCAGAGATGTCATTTTAGTTCAGCATGGATTGCTGAAAAGGTGTAGCGATCTAAAAGATGTCAGCGATTTCGGTGATTATATTAGAGATACTGAATGACTGTATGTAAAACTGAATTCTACGTGTACCTCAGCGATCGCTTCGACAATCTTTGAAACGTAAGTTTTCACTGGAAAAAGCTTTTGAATTTCCTGCTGTGAAAACTCCTAATTAGACTAACGAGTCTGTTTAAGCAGCCTTACTCAACCCACCATTCTGCAGTAAGGTTGGAGCCCGAAGCTCTCACAAACCTCTTTGTTCATTGACCTTTAAAAGGGAAACCGGTCGTTTCGCCAACGAGTCGTTTCGCCAACGGTCGTTTCGCAAACGTCTCTGGTTAGTTCGCAAACGTTTAGAAGTCAATTCGCAAACGCATTGTAAGACTAGGCTTGAGAGTTAGTTTGTATGGTCAAATGCAGTTGACATCCGAAATCAGAACTGAACTGGCTTCTACACATATGAATGTTGATAACGTTTGCGAACTGACTTCTACACGTTTGCGAACTGACCAGAGACGTTTGCGAACTGACCGGAGACGTTTGCGAAACGACCGTTGGCGAAAAGACCGACATTCTTTAAAAGGTTTGCGGTCGTTTCGATACAAGTTTGATTAATCGAGTTCTAATTGTTTACGAACATGGCTTGAAGAACGAAGAATATGCACCCAAAATGTTTTTCATGTTTATGCGCAAACTTTTTTATACTTGAAGTGATCAAAAATTTTGTGCAATTTCACAGTTTAAGTTAGTATCGAAATGACCGGTTTCCCTACACACCTGTTATTAAGACAAGGTGCATTGTTGGGGTCATTTATCTCCGATCTTTTGTTACAAGTTTGTTTAATCAAAAGCGTGAGAGATCCTTCTTTGAGGGCCAGGAATTATGGGAAGGATCTATCATGCTTGAAAAAAGCATCACTCGATATCGGGTTCTTGCTAAGGGCCTCGTTGGATCGTGGCGCCCTCCAAGGGCCAAGGGAGGTACATCGTCTACTCTTGAGAAAGGTACATCACCTTTCTTCAGAATTACTGGTTCTGAAATCACTTGAAAGTAGCAGAGGATTGACTTTAATCATGATCGTGATTGTGCTCATAACTGTGATCGAGATTGTCATCGCGATCGTGACTGTTATCATGATTGCGATCGTGATTGTGAACGCGAGTACAAACCTTAAAACTCTAAACTTTTAAGATCCATTAAAAAATTACAAGTCATTGAACGTTGTATGTTGTAACCTCATTATGTTCAAACATTCCATGTAGATCAGCAGTAACTTTTACGCTGGGTGGTAGGGTGCCTCTGAGCCTTAAAGGCACCCTTTTTTCACCCTAACTTGACTATTTAACCAATGAAACAGTTAATAGATATGATACTAAGGAATACTGAACACTCTCAGTTATTATCGTTCAGCTAGTGGACCGAGTTCTTTTTAATATCGTTTCTACTTGGAATAATTTAGATTCGAATTTAACGAAACGAAATTTGGTTACCCCAGTTTTCAAGATATTTGAAATTTTTTGTATTTTTTAGAGACTTCTTCAAAAATCTAAGTAATTTTTTAAAATAATACCCATTTAATATTTAAAACTTAATTGCGGCTCAGAAGCAATAATCTATAAAAATCAATAACCCCAGTAATTAGGGTGAGTACGGAAAGTTCTTTGAATAAAGTGAGTCCTACGAGATACCAGAAAATAATATTGATGATCTATGCATTTTCCACTTGGGTTTTCTTGCCATAAGTGAGTTCAGCACCCCCACTCAACAACAAATCAATTCCAGTACTGAACGTTGCTTCGGCAGCCAGGTATAAACAGGCTTGACCAGATTCTTCAAGAGTTCCCATGCGACCTAACAGCTGTAACGAAAACAACAAATAGTCTGTCAGAAGGGGGAGCATAACCAATCAAAGCTGAGATACATATCGTCAGCACCAAGCGCACTAGACAAGCTTAAACAACCTGCAATTTAGTTTATTTTTAAAACTTTTTTCTCGTTGGAAGATTTTTTGAGATTTTTAAGCCTTACAAAATTTGTAGCAAGAAACGCTTTGGTAGAAAACCTCTCTAGTGGAATTTAGCCACAAGTGACCAAAATTAGGCACTACAGGACAAAGGAAACTGCAAATACATTGAAGGTGATCAAGAGATTGGATTAGAAGTATTGGCAATATCTTCTGGTGTATTTCACGATGAAATTTAGATAAACGTTTGTCCTGTTAAGTACTTTAGTTCCAAAAATTTACTAAACGATATGATACACCTCCATACACTTTTCCGGATGTCTGTGAATATATTAGCCATACCATTGCCAGGCACAAATTATCTTCACAATAGTTTCCACTACAGTGGTGCTGTTTTCTGGAATAGTGTAAGACATGCAGGATCTCTAAATACATTTATATTTAACTAGAAGCACGGCATTGATGGAAAACAGGTTTTTAGCTTATTACATTGATTAACTGGTGTAACAATTACAATAACATGATATTATCCTCAGGTAATTTGGATTTTGACAAGCAATCAGATGTACATGTATATGTACCTAAATAAATTCAAAAATGTTGTACCCGAATAAATCGTTACTGTGTGTAAAAATAGATTACTGTACTGACTGAAAACCTATCATTTCAGTGCTGATCCCTTTGTAAGAGCAAAACTGAATGAAAAAGTTTTGTGCAACGCTACCACAATGCTAAGGAAAAGAAAAATGAAAAGATGAAACCCAAACCAAGCTAACATACCTGGGCTTCTTCACCGTCTTTCTTACTTTTCTCAAAGTCACCAGTCAACGTGGCCAACTGGTCCCACAATGGTGTCCACACATTACCAGGTGAAACACTGAAAATTATACAGGACTATTTTAGGAACAACTATTCATAGCGTTTTCTTTTTTGAGAAGTAGTCTAGTAAGTACAGTTGTACATAAATACGTGCATTCCTAAACATAAGTGAAACTTTCGGTTTCTTAAAAATAGTTTTACTGTTGCCAATGTTCCAACCTGTGGAGACGAGTGGTGGAGCGGTTAACACCTCTAACTCCGAATCTGGAGACCTGTCAGGGGTTCAAGCCTTACCCATCACGTTGTTCCCCTGGACAAGGAATTTTACACCACTTTGTCTCTCTTCACCCGCGTGTATAAATGGGTACGGGCGACATACTGCTGGGGGTAACCATGTGATGGACAAGCATCCTGTCCAGGGGTGACTAGCAATACTCCTAGGCATGCTTCATGCTAAGAAAACTGGGATAAGCTCCTGCTTTTTGTGCCTTTTGCTCTTGTGCGCCTTTAACTTACCTTTTACCTATTTTTCAAGCTTACAAAATTATTGAGATAGTAGAGAAAAAAATAATGTCAGAGGAGGGGTGAAAACATCCATTACACAGTCCCTCATTAGATAGCCTAAAAAGAACATAATCTGTTATTAAAAAAGGGGCTTCTTATGCTATGTGTTAAATGACTGATAATCACTTTTAATTACCTGTTAACTCGTACTCCATATTTAGCCTCATCAACTGCGAGCGCTCTTGTCATTGATGTTATCCCACCCTTGTAATACAAGAAAGTCACAAGTCAAGTTAATTATCACAGTCCTTTTTCTCTCTAGGCTAAACTCCCATGGCCAGTTATGAAAACTACAGAACTGAAGGTTTGTTACACCCTCTAAAAAGAAAATTAATCCTGACATATTTCTCGTCAAAATTTTATTTGGTATATCTTTTTTTTTTAGTTTGTTTTTAAATAAATCGGCACATTTGAGAAAATTGCAGAACACGCATGGTTATAAAATGTTAAAATGTTTATTACCTTGCTTGCAACATATGCTACAGCTCCCGGCTGGCCAATTTGTGCCACTAAACTTGACATGTTGATAATGTTTCCTTTTGTTTTCCGTATGTGAGGCAAAGCAAACTGCAAAGAAAAATATGTCAAAGGCATAAAAAAAATGTCAAATTTCCTAATCTATGGTGGCCAACTAGAAAAACAAATGGTTCACTTGGCCATCATACTCAAACTTTCATATTAATTAGAAAGAGACGTTTATCTTGTAAACATCAATCTACATTGAGTCAAAATAAACCGAACTGAAAAATCTAACATAAATTAAACTTATTTCATATCTACAAAAATTTTACACATGGCCTTGTTTTGACATACATAGAAATATTTTTACATCATGAACCTTAATGCCATGAAGGTATTTTTTAAGATGTTGCTATAGCTATATGTCCCTTAAAAAATCTTCCTCCACTTTTGTCTTATGAAAAGTAACAATTAAACAGAAATTATTCACCTGCATATACATGTAACTAAAAAGCCTAGAACAACAATACTGTACTTACTTTACAAAATAAGAAATAATTTACAAGGTTTAGATTCAGCAGTTCTCTGAACAAATCTACTGAAGTCTCATCAATTGTTTTACTTGGGGGATCTGTCAACAAAGCAAAAAATTCAAGATGATGAAAACATAAAAAGCAAAACATCTTCATTAACGAAATTCATGTAATTAGAATCACAAACTGTAATAAAAATACTCCACTACCGTACAGGCACCCTCATTTCAGTCACTCAAGTTGAGGCTTCACAGGAATGGAGAAAGTGAGCCAGTCCCTTCAGCTGACCTATTTTAATTCCTTTTTTTCATTCCCTCATGCAATCATCCTGATGTGGATTGCCTGCCATCTCTCTTCATTAATTTTACAACCTTGGATATTATTTAAACTAAGGCACATTAATAACAAAGATAGCTGGGTTTTGCAACTGCAAAACTTCAGATTAACATTAATAGTTTGCTGTTTGTTATGACAAAGAAGATAAAACTTGGTTTCTCTACTTACGCCATCCAGCATTGTTGATGAGGCAGTCAATGCAACCATACTTTTCAACTGTCTTCTCCACTAAATTCTTTATTAACATAAAGAAAGACACCGTTAATAAAATTGTCTTGAAATTATATGAATGAGTCATAAACCAAAAGACTCAGTTTTGACTGATTGAGAGTGTTACCTTAGTGAGCTGAGAGAGCTGTGTTGGGATGACTGTGCCTACATACACCTGAACAGTCAGTTTTAACTGATTGAGTGTACTAAAGGGTTAGCTGAGAGGGCTGTGTTGGGATGACTGTGGCTATACACCATAACAGTCAGTTTTATCTGATTGAGTGCACTAAAGAGTTAGCCGAGAGCTGTGTTAGGATAAAGATGGTCATTTTCTTCGGGAAGCAAGGGCAGTAGGTATGGTCAAGACGGATGTGGCACTGGGTTGGAATCCCAAATGCAAAGCTTCAATGTGTTAAAGAATGGTAAACAAAGAATCTTTACAAGGATGCCCTACTGTACCTCTAAATCATTGTTACCTCTAAATCATTAATTAGTGTTGACTTAATGAGTGTGCTAGCAGGGTGTGGTCAGACAGCTGTGTTGGGATGTCTGTATTTATAGACCAAAAACTTTAATTTTGACTGATTTTATAGTGTGCCAGCAGAGTGTGCGAAGAAAACTTTCGATTGTTGTATCTTAGCATGCTGGTAGTTCATGTACATTGACATGAATCTTAAACTAGGATAAATAAGGTACACTGTGTAAGATCGTGAACACGTTAAAGTGTTGCAAAGATTTTTGCAAGTAACAGACCCTTCCTCAGTTTTTTCAACATTTGAACTGTACCGGTCAGGAACAATCTGTCGATACCACTGCCAAAATTTAAAGTGATATGCCTTAAACAAGCAAAAATATAGCTCCAAAAAGTTACAATTTTGCTTCTTCCTGGTTTATATTTGTTTGTTTTCAATAAATCACCTTCAAACTTGACAATTTTACTAAAGGTCCTCCTCCAGTGCAGTTGACAAACCTTCCCTAACTTGTCCATGTCGAAATAGGAAAAAACCGTTTCCAAAGGTCTATTGATACCAGAAAGTTAGGGTTTAAGAAAATAACTCCAGATTGAAGGGACTCTAGAAAGTAAACTGACCTTGATATCTTCCTCTTTGGTAACATCACATTTGATAAAGTATGCTTCTCCAGGACCTTTGCCATTTAGTTCTTTTTCAAGTTTTTCCCCTTCAGCCTCTGAAGGCACAACACAGAGAATACAGGTGGTATGACATAAACACAACAATACAATGTACAAAATAAAGACCTGATAGGGGGATACTTCTCAATGATTAAAACATTTACTGCCCAAAGTACTGCCCAACAAAGTCAACCACATTCACAAACTTACTAGCTGCATGGTATAATAACACATCAAACTAACTACCAAGAGAATGTATTGTGCACAATTTATAGTGTCCCAATAGCAATGAACAGTACAGCCCAAAAATAATCCAAGCGTAAGATTAGTGGTACAAGAAGTTCTTTCGTTGCAAGAACATGCAAGCCACCACAACAAAATTATCGCCTGGAATAAATTCAATGCTACCAAATTAATAATGTTTGATTAAAACCAACCCACAAAAAAATATCACTCCAGCGTGCAAAGAAAGTAGTGTCTGATAGCCCGGGGCTAGTGGATTTTGCTATTGGGCTAGTGAATTCTGTTTTTAACTTGCCGGACGGGCAAGTGAAGTAGTTTGAGGAATTCAACTTACAGAAGAACTGTTAAATCATTTCTGCTCTTCAAAAAATTTTGGGGGCTACTTGATAGGTCACTTGGGCTTAGTAAATGTTAGCTTCAGCTTGCCCGAATGGAAAGCTGTAAAAATGACTTTCTTTCCACCCTAGGTGAAGACTTACAAACTACTTCCTATTTATATTCACGACTAAGAGACGGGAATGGGTGTGCAGCTCGAACTAAGGAGCCTGAGTGTTTAATGCTGTCCAAATATCATACAAAGCTAGTTCAACATCATAACTAAAGAATGGTATATAAATATCCCTAAATAAAGTCACTCAGGCTAAACTATTCACGTGCGCCGCCTGATACGAAAACCCAAAAACCCAATGGGAAAAAATTGGGAACGTATTCCCCAACCGATACTTCTGGGGGTTAAAGGTAAAAAAATCAATCGATAGATGAATAAAGTAAGATATAAAAATAAAAGTTGATAGTTCGAGAGCTGAGATGAATACATTACAACTGTCAAAACCTTATATACCTAATAACAATAGAGTCAATTAACGCCATAACGGCTCACGTGCGTTCATACCAATAGGAAAGTATTTACATTCTCTGTCACTGCCACTACGTTTAGCTCCGCCGAATGTAAATACATTTCTTGTGCCTTGTTGAGGCTTGCAGTAATTTCTGTAGCTTCTTACAGTAAAATCATTGACTACTTGGGTTTCAAAGTTCTTGTTGCTAAACCACCAAAATATGGCATTTTCAGTTAAATTCTTGCCGTCAGGCACAGCTATTTTATTGTACATAATAAACTTTCACTCTGCAATCTCTGCAAAGTCAAGAAGAGTCTGCCCTACTTAATACAAGTCAGAAATAAATTCTCTCCCCAGTTTCACTGGCCTAAAAATGATGAAGATCTAGCTCAAAATAGCACAAAAGTTTAAGTAAGGTGGACAGAAATATTATGAAACCGTTTTATAGAAATGAGGACTTGTCAGTGAAACACCTTTAAACTAAACTTGTTTTCCATGGTAATCAACATCTACAGTAAAAACCCACGAGTAAGATTAGAACCTACATTTTCCAGGGTTAGCCTAAACAGGTTCTTCCATAAATGGTGGTTAACATAAATTTAGGCTATCTAGGTTCTTAATGGGTTCTTAATTTCTTGCAAAAAATTATGTCGTTGCTAAGAAGATTTTAGTGATCAGCACCCTTAAATTTGCATATCTAATAATTGCTTTTATTATATAAACTGCAGTGTTTTACAAGGATTTCTACCACCGAGAAATGTGGTATCTGGACACATGCAAAAATACGATATTTTTACATGTGAAGATATCGATAATTTCACTGACATCAGGTTTGTCTCTTAAATTGTACTTAAATTCGTTGGTGTATCATCGAAACATCTTCGGGTCTTCCTCGAAAGTGCTCGGCAATCTTCAGACATCTTCAGACATCTTCGGAAATTTTCGGAAATTCTCGGAAAATGTTCGGGAACGTTCGTCTGGTCTTAGGGACAATTTGAAAAATCTTCGGAAATCTTCGGTAGGTGGTCGGAAATCTTCGGAAAATCATCAAAAATGCCGTCACCAGTATGTTTATATAATAAAAAGAATATTACACGTTAGCTCGAAGATATGAATTTTATGTTCTAGTGACAAGAGCAATATCTCACTCGTTCGCTGCACTCACTCGTGAGATATTGTTCTTGCCACTCGAACATAAAATTCATATCTTCTCGCCACCGTGTAATATTCTCTATATATTTTAATATGACCATAATAGAGATCTATTCTCACATGAATTTTAATTTCTTGAGTCAAAACAACTTTATATACATGATTATTCTGTAAAACACAATAATATAAACATTTTCTCAATGACCTCAATCAAACAACATTTGTATAAGAACCTTTCTCCAAATTTTAAGCTAAACAGGTTCTTATATAGAGGGGGTCTAAATTGCAAATTTTACCCTGACAGGTTCTTAAATCTAAGGTTCTTACTCGTGGGTTTTTACTGTATTGTCTGATGACCAAACTATTGTCTGATGACTAATCCTGCATAATTGCTGCAAAAATGTGCCCCTTGAATGCGAGCTGCAGTAACATTAGGACAGTCGCTCCACTTTTTCTTGCCTCTCTCCCCACAAGGCTATGAAACCAGGACAGCCCCTCAAACTGTTAAGTGCTCAATCTTACAAAAAAATAGGGGACTCAATGAACAGTCTAATATATAGCAATGCATCAATTTTGAGTATACTACTTGTATCATAAAATATAAAACACTTGCAGCGCAGATTTGTTTATTATGAACTCAAATAATCATTTTCAAAAACCCCATTTAAGGCCATTACACTGCAGCTATTTAGCTGCTATTTAACCATTGAAATATTAATGTTGCTTAGAATCTACTGACCATGAGTGTTCTATATTAAATCTTCCCAACAGAAATCACATATTACAATTTGTTTCATATTGGAACTTTTCTGCACCATATAACATGGCCTCTAACAATTCCACATAATTTTCCAACATTTTTTTGCACTGCATGGAGGCAGTTGTACTCCAGAGAGTAAGTATGAATTTGTGATGTGAATGGAGTGTGGATACCAAACATTTTTCCATATTTGTTCTGGGCAGAAGGGTTTGACAATAATTACCAGAAAATTAACATACAATATGTTCAAGAAACTTACCCCCACGAGCACAAAAGACAACTTTGGCACCAGCTTTCACTAGGAAACAAAACGGTGATGTTAAAAGACTTTGAGTAAACAGAAAATAGTTTTCCACATTTATATATCCATGCTCACACCTATTTTATTTACTAAGTAACAGAAAACAATAATTCATTATTTTGCCTTTGGATGTTATGAATCAGTCAAAGCCAACTGTAAGCATACATGATCTTAGAAGTGCCCGTAAATTTTATTCAAATCCCAGAACAAAAAAAATTTGATTCAATAAAAAAATGTTGATTCACGTATGTCAATAGCTCCCGATTTCACGGAGTAAGTTCCCCACATTTTGATAAGCAATGTTTAGTTATATCAGGATAGGAAACTACATTGGTATCAAGGGTAGGCAAATGCCCAGACCACACAAAATTTGCTAATGCCTCCCCACAACCCGCCACCCCCCCCCCCCGACTGACAAGGAAAGCAAATACCCTGCAGTGGCCTGGGCAAGGGGGTGGGGGGGACTGATGCATTATTAGTATTCAATTGAAGTAAAAAAAAAAACTTGCTACTAACTGAATCATAATAAACACCATACGATGTTGACCGCTGAAAGAAATTGAAGGAGTTTTTTAGTTTAGTTTTCTTGTTTTTTTTTTGATAGCGGGAGTCTCTGTTTGTTTGTTTTTTGTCTTTTTTGCTTATTTATAACTTTTTTAATCAATTATTAAGTAACCTGCTTATGAGTTAAGATTTTGCCCTTCCGTTATACAAGAAATTCGAGTCGGAAAGCTTCGTGTAAAGTCATATGATGTTGTCACATGATGTCTAAAGCTCCCACCACCAAGAAATGAACCTTTCAGCAGCCTATGAATAGGACGAAAAGAGTCGGTCGTATAAAATATTTCAACACAAACCTTAATTTTAAAAACAGAGAGGAAGGCCCTGAAATTAAATAAATCTGTAGACGTTCGTATTTGTTTACTTACCGAACTCTCTGACGACTCCTTCTCCAATTCCTTTTGAGCCTCCTGTTACAATTGTAACTTTTCCTTCGTATCTCAGCTTGGACGTTGCCATAGCTTCTGTAGGAAAAGTAGCGACTCTAATGCCTGAGACACGTGATTTTGCTGTAGTTTATACTCTTACACCGACTAAAAGTCCTCTAAACCTCGCGTGATCAACCCTCAATATTCACGGTCACAGACAATTCAATTCTACTTCAAGTTTATTTTCAGCCTTTTCAAAAGAGGCTTGGGACCTAGAGATATTTCGAAAGGTTTCATGGGATATTTAGCTCTCAAGGAAGTTCGGACACCTGATGAGGCTTAGACAACGTGGGTTTTGATATCTCTTTACCGCTCTTTACCGCTAAGAAAAATGTCTTGCTAAAAATGATAATCCTTATTGGCTATTTTGCTTCTGGCGCATGCGCATAAGCAAAAATGTGGGACCATTTTTTTTCTTTTTCTTCCTTTAATTTTGCCAATTTATTTATCTTTTTGCGAATTTATTTATTTTATCTTTCCCTCTCGCTCTCTTTTTTCCCTTTGCCTTTCTCATTTATAGGCATTTTTCTTTTTTCAGTTCGGATGGAATTGTGCATGACTAACTTTCTAGGGAACGAAGGCGTGGGACGAAGAAGAAAAAAGCGAAATTGGCAACCGGAAGGGGGGTTCTTGGGTTAATTTTTGCTGGGTATGTGCCGCTGGCCTCTCAGAGCCCCTAACCCACACTGAACCCATTACAGTCTATTCACTGGCCAATTATAGACCCCATCTTGGTCACTTTTGGACAAATATCTAAGTTTTGCGATCCCAGCTTAGTCTCTTTCTATTTTTATGAAGTGATCCAGGTTTTAGATTGAATGAAGGACACTTTACTTTTCTGCTGCAGTACAAACATTCTGGTACGTTTGCTAACCGTAAACATGAAGAACTGTCTTACCCCAAAAAATCCAAAAATGTGCGACCCCATTATAGTCGATCCAGTCGGTAAAATGCGACCCCATCCAGCGGCACATCTCCATTAGCCTCTTACAGGCTCCTGCCTCTTATAAGAAACAACCACCCACCCACCCAGGGGATTGGCAATAGGTTCTAAGGCCAACATGGTCCAAAATGTTATTGGATGTTGTGTAACTCTGTCAGGATCGGAATTTCAAGGCCTAATTGAGCTATCTCTCCTCCCCCCCACCCCCCCCCCTTCAAAAAAAAAAACGGTACACGTATGTTAGGTAAAAGGAACCTGTGCCATTTAGTCTTATTGTGGAGGCCTTCAATAAAGAAAACAAATACAACTCAACAGGCACTTAGAAAACTAGTAAACTGTTTCACTTACCCAATGAGCTCGGGCAAGGAGGAGCCTTCAGTGCTGACTTGTTAAATTGCCTGTTTTCTCACCTGCATTTATGTGGATTAATTCCGTTATAATTAATTCATTACTAACAAATCTAATAACATGTACAAAACAATTTTACTAATAAGAGAACCTCAGACTTAAACAAAAACAGAATCCACTTGAAAAGCCGTTTTCTGTGCAGAGTCCAATTATTATCAAAAATTCATCTAACAACCTTCTTGATTTCACCTGAATGGGAAGCATCAAACGGATGAAGTTCAATCCGTTTACAATTATTTCATTACTAACAAAAAACTCTATAAAAGGATTTTGCTAAAAAAGCTCGGACTTTAAAAACAGTGTAAATTTAAAAACGTATTTGTTGAAAAAAAAAACACTGTTATTGACCAAAATCTGTTCAGCCACCTCAACTTTCGTTCGCATAACAGTAAAAGCCTCAAAAACAAGTACTTAATTCCGTTATGATTGTTTGATTATCAACATCAGGCAAAAAGCTATCTATCTTGCTTGCCTATAAAACAAATTTGTTGTCAGGGAGACAGCTTGAGACATTTTTCTTCAGAAAATTGGCGAAACAGGAGCAAAACAAGTATGCCAGAAGATGAATTTAAAATATTAAAAACTTAAAAATTGCCACTAACAATTGCAATTCAATTGCAATTCATTAACCTCTCTTAAGGTAAAAACAAGCGCCTTGCTCAGAAACTGTTCGGTTTAAAAAAACGGTTCTTTATAGGAACGCTCATCCAACCACCTTCTTTACTTGTCATAATGGGTATAGCATGAAGGAGATGAATTTAAAATGTCCCCAACTTTTTTATTTTTTTTTTCTTTAAACTTCGCGAAGTTTTTTTAGTTAAAAATAATTGATCTGCTCGCCACTAACAAATCATGATATTTTGCTAAACCTCGTCCAATAATTGTTTATTACTGCAGTGTAATTGTATTGAGCACGAAAACTGAGGACACCATTTTGCCACGTTTCCTTCAGGAGACGAGACCGCCATTTTAAGTGGTCATCCGAATGAAAGTCTAGGCATTTGCAATGCAAACTAGGCAGTTCCTCTATTTCACAGTTACCGTTTAAGACCCTGAGTATTGATCTGGCTCCAGGAATCGAACGCACGACTGTTGGTACAGTCAAGCGCTCTACCGACTGAGCTACTCCGCGGTTCATACAAAAAATTGCAACCATCTTTTAAGGATTGTTCAAAGAACAAATTCGATTTTCAAAAACCACCTGTCTTTCCCAGATTGTAGAAAAATGGACATTCTGAGTCCATTCTGACAGGGATTTAATTGAACTTTTTACTCCACTGACTTCTCTATATTTTTCAGTTCACTTGTCTTATTAAAATTGATAGAAAAAATAGCATAAAACCAAAAAAACGTATTAATTATGTAAATCACCTTCAAGTTCTCTGACATATGATTTATATTCTGTCTTTGACAACCAAAAAGCATCAAAAAACACTTTCCAGGGCACTTCACTCAAAGTTGAAGAAAATTCAAGGACTTTTCAAGAACTTGCACAGAAATTTAAGGATTTTTCAAAAAAATACAACTAGACTTTTCAAGACTGTGTGAACCCTATAATCCTGCCGTTGTAGACCCGCCGCTGTATATTTTCAGACCGAAATACGTACATTTCCAGACCAACATGCAATCCACTCAATTCTATTACCATTGATTGGTCCGTGCACTTCTGCAAAAAAGTTACTTCACCGGTGCTGGTAAATAATTCCTTTCCTTGAAGAGCCTCTTAAAGGATTCGGCGTTTTTATATAAACTTCAGATATACGCTGGGAACGCGAGCTAGCGCAGAGGAACGCGAAATTGTAACCTGAACTGTTACTAACCCTAACCGAAGCTTTCTCATCTTTAAACAGTTAAATGTACATACTACTAGTCTCTAAGCGTCCAAGCATGGTGGGAGCAAGGCATGCTCGAGTTTTTAAAAGTTGTGGTTTTTGAAGTTGGCATGTTCATAGGAACAAGATAAACCGTTTTAAGCATGCCAAGAGGCGTATCTTTCTTCACACGAAGTACGCAAGTCACGTAACCAAACTTTCCACTTTTTAAACTACAAAAGAAAAAGGGTAAAGTCGCCTGTAAGTTTTATACGCGTCAACATGTTTTTCGATTACCAGTTTTGAGCTTCCGTGAACAGCTAACTGATTTACATACGTGTTTTGTGAAGCTTTAATTCCAAAGAAGCATATATCACTCATGGTATACAAAGAAGTTGCTACCAGTGGTAAAAACAAACGATTTTACACGCTTACATTCGTTCTTCAACTTTCAATGTTTGTTTATTATCGCAATATTTTATATTACCTCTTGGAGAGTAACACCCTTTATTTAATTAAAGAAAAATAACATAAAAATTACAACTGTTAAATCATTTCTAAATACCCAGTGTACAAAATTAAGAAACAATTTTAAGATTCTAGAAAATTGTCCCTCTCAGAGCTATTTCGACGTTGTCCCAAACGTCTTCTTCAGTGGAATGTTGAATACATTTATAGACCACGTGATGGTCGTAACATTGGTCACGTGATTTAAGATCACCAAGTGACCAATAGTAACATCAATCATTCGACAGATGAAGAATGAATCAGTTTGCACTATACTAGGAATGCTGCAACAGCTTAACTGCCGGGGTCTACGTCCCTTATGCTACTTTTTACCAACAGAAGCGTGGGCTCTTCAACGTCCCACAAGACCCAGATAAGTGAAAACGCGGTGAGACGGGGCTTACGGGTTTTAGTCCTTATCCAAAATAAACTGTAGAATGTATACCATTTTTTATGTCCGATCAAAGGCAATGCATCCTCCTCAATTATTTTAAGACCCTGACTGTTGGTCCTGCAGGAAATTGAACCCGGGCCTGGCACTCCTTAGTCTCATATTTAACCAGTGGAGCTAACCAGTCAGTGCCGGGTCGGACAGTACAGCTAAAGTACCATATACAAAAACATTATTTTCCTATTTCTTCCTACCCTGCGTGGCAAGCACAAAAAGGGCAGGGGGAGGGGCAGAAAACAAGCAAAAGGGAAACGAAACCCCCTCCGTTTTCCCCTCCTCCTTTCAGCGCTTGTTTTTTCCCATCTTGCATCAACACAAGTAAACTTTCTTTACAGTCAAACCAGGTCAAGCGTACCCCCCAAGAAGCTATTAATGAATTTATTATTCAAAAGTTGAATCCGTTGCTGGTTGTAGATTTCAGATTGATCTCTGCATTCTTGAATGTGTAATGAGCCGTTTATTCACACGCGAGGCAGTTATGAAATTTCTACCAGCTCCATTTTCCTGAAGTTGATGTAAATGTCTTCTAAGAAGCTTAATCTATTCAAAGACTTCCAATCTGACCAAATACAGAGAAGTTCTCGTAAAATATTCACTGCTCATTACGCATGCAGAAATGCCGCTTTGAATTTGACACCAGTTACGGAAACGACTAACGGATTCATTTTTCAAATAATCAATTCACTGATAGAATCTTGGGGGGTACGCTTGACTTGGTTTGACTGTAATTACCAGCTCACTTTTCATTATATGGTCTGCTACAAGTCTTTGTCATTATAAAGGATTATGATTATCGTTATGATTGGTAACCGGTCAAGGCGCCAGAAAGTCATCTCGCCCGTGAACCAGGGTTGTCTTGCTCGACATTTTTAGTTAAGTTGCCCGAAATTTTATCAGGTGTACTACACAGAGAAATAAAGAGTGTGTGTAATATGTCTCGCTCTTTAAGCGATGATGAGACGAAACAAGCGGAATGAATGTGTAGTATATCTCGTTCTTTAGGCCTTGATGACAAGACAAGTGCGATAAATGAGCAATAGATCTCGTTCTTAAAGCTTTGATGAGACGAAACAAGCGCGATAAATGTGCAATAGGGATGTTAAGATGTTGTTGAGCATGAAAAATTCGGGCGACTTCACCAAAAATCTCGGGCGACATAACTTCGGTCGAGATGACTTTCGGGCAACTTGACCGTAATGCTGATCAGATTATGAGGTTCACACACTGAGGATGAATGAAGAAAGTTGTTTGAATACAGCTCTAACAGAAACCCAAAGTAAAATAATTTTGATTATCTATGCATTTTCCACTTGCGTTTTCTTGCCATAAGTGAGTTCAGCACCTCCAGTCAACAACAAATCAGTTCCAGTGGTGAAAGTTGCTTCGGCAGACAGGTATAAACAGGCTTGGCCACATTCTTCAAGAGTTCCCATGCGACCTGACAGCTTCAAAGGAAACAAGAAACATTGAGTCACCCAGTCGGGAGAGTGCGATATCGTAAGCAAAATGGCAGCAAATGAGAGGACATAAATGCACAATTTTTGACAATACAAGCGATGTCGTCAGTTGTGCTAGAGCGGCTTTGAATGGACTATTGAGTATCGGGAAACAAAACCAATTAAAAATAATCTAACCACAGGCAATCATAACATACAATATTTTGAAACAATATTTTTGAACTGTGATTTGTTATATTTTTACTTCTGACTGGGTATGGAAATCGCCCAAGAATTTTCAGTCAATCAAAACTTGTCCGGCTTAGCAAAAACAGAGACACTGTTAAACGCCTTTTGCAGGTCACGTGATCAGAGGGAGTACCACCCATTCGTCTTCTACCGAAAGCGTTGACCAAGACGGCCTATGAATTAGTTATAATAACAATTCCTTTTTTCACCTTTAATAGCATTCATAGCACACTGGTCACTGAGCACGTAACCCTTTAGATTGTCTTTTCTTTTACGCATCCTTATAAAGAAATGCTTGTGGATAAGTTCTTAGAACAATTGTTGACGCCCTGTCACGACCACATCAGCTACGCTGTAAACTTATCGTGTTTGAATGAAAGATGTTCTTGTTGTTGTTGTCGTCGTTCTCAACAGTGTAAAAATAAAGTTGCAGAATAGAAGAAATCAAACATAACAGGTTTATTTCAGGGTTCAGTTACAAGCGTCCGTCCAGTCGACGATTTCAACATGGGACAACTATGAAACAACAGCTGGCACTCAGGGCGCAGGTTTGAACTTAGAGCCTGACTATTGCAAATCCAGCGGTCAAGCCACTCAGGCATGCCTTACAGGGACTGGGTAACCCACCTACAAGTCACCAAAATCAGCTGATTATGGTCGTTTTGCCCGGCGTCGATTCGCCCGACGTTGTTTTGCCCGGACGTAAGTCGATTCGCCGGATGACAACAGCACTTAGGGCGTATCAGGGATGTTTTTTAGTTAAGTTTGAACTCTATTGCTGCCATTGCTGAGAACGGTCCAGCGATCCGTATAATTCCGAAAATAAGCCTATCCATGTATAAGCCCCTCCAAATATACGCCCCCCAAAATCGTAACGCAAAAAACCCTCTGTTAAATTGCCCTTCGAATATAAGCCCTTCGGGGGGCTTGTACTTGGAATTTGCCCTCGAAATACAAAGTAAAACAAAGCAAAAATGGTAAATTCCCTTCCCACTACAAGCTAGCCCAATCGATATTGAAAGGCAAATTTCCCTCCGTACATAAGCCCCTCCGAATATAGGCCGAGACACGCTAACCTACCTGGCATTCTTCACCATCTTTTTTACTTTTCTCAAAGTCGCCCGACAGATGAGCTACATATTCCCACAATGGTGTCCACACATTACTGGGCGAAATACTGAAATTATACAGAATGACGATAATAAAAAAAACTCATCTAGGGAACAACTCTGTCATGAATCTTTGCTGTTACATAGCTTAGTCTGATCAACGTTTGAAATACATAAAAATGCAGCACAAACCTGCGTGTAAGAACCTAGCGGTTTAAGACCCCGCTGGCAGAAATTTGCCATATATTTTAAGGTGGCTCGATGGGCTTTTTTCAAGCTCAATATCCCAAACGTTTGAGCATAAACTACGTCGCCATTAACAAAGATTCGGTAAATAATCACCACAGCTGTATTAGATAAAGATACGAATTTGTTCTCATCAGGGTTACAATGACATCGGAGGGAACTCTTCTTCCAAAATCATTCAGGGGAGCTTTTTTTTCTAATGGCCGCCTCGATGTTCGTGAAGTTCAACCGAATTCTATAAGAGCGTTATCGAGATACTTTGGGTTCTATGGTTAGAAATACGGTACAAACTGAACAATCATTATGTTTGGCTGTTGCCTACAGAAAACGAAGCACTTTTGAAATGTAATTTTACCTCATAGTAGTTTCATACTTTTAAAAAACGTGAGTGAAAGATTATGAACTGAGCTTCAGCCGATTGCTAAGAAGAAGGATTTGATTAGTATGTGATCGAGGCGCTCTTGTTAGCGGTTTTGTAAACATTTTGGTCTACTTAACAAATAAGCGAATAATTTTGAACCCGCTCGATAGATTTTTTTTTAAAAAAAATTGAGACTCTCGAGATTAACTGTCGTTTTATATGACCTTTAGGGTTCAAGATTATTGATAACTTGTAAGGCAGTAAAATAAGTATAGGTAATCAACTTTTCAAAGACTAACAAAAGCGCTAAAAATAACCTATGACATCATCCTATCTTATTGAGATGCGTGACGTCATCGGCATTAATTTAAAGTATGACATCATCCTATCTTAATGAGATGCATGACGTCATCTGCGTTAATTTATTCCCCGAAAGTTAATGAATTCCCCCGCAAAGAAAAGGAGTAAAACATCCCTCCTCTACTACTGACCTTAACGACGACGACAACGAAAACAACAACGTCAAAAAACAATTGGTTTTATGAACAAAACAACAGCTCAGCACTTCAGTGTAACACGCTTTTTAGTGCATTTCTTTGACGCCCACTGCACGACTACGACATGAAACCTCCTAATGCGACGTTTTATGGAGTGGACATACTACGACAAATTTTCCCTTCTCTATTTGAACATGGATAAAGCCCTTAAGAATTCAACTCTTGGAAAAGTCGCCCACATTTGACAAATTGAGCGGTTCCAAACAGACGTGATAAAGTTTGAAAGGGCGCAAATTCATTTTTTTAGTAATGTTTTCACTGCCGTCGTCGTCGTCTTTGCTTAAGGTCCCTATGATTTTTCGTGGACAACAATAGCTAACATTTCTGCATAGTTCAAATGCATTGCTAGTTGCTGCTGTTCACGTGAAAATGAAACTTGTGGAAAATACCCCGAATAATTCTCTCACTTGTAAACACGAAATTTCCGACAAAACATTGGCGAACTGTAGCCCTTACCTTACTGCCTTAATGCAAGTTATCAATATACTTGAAACTCAAAGGTCATATAAAACGAAGGTCAATCCGGAGAATCTCAAACTTTAACAAACTGACCTTTCGAGCGGTTTCAAAATTATTCGCTTATTTGTTTCAGTAGACCAAGAATTTTACCAAACCGCTAACAAGAACATCAAGATTGTCCAATTTTTACCGTATTTCTAACCATAAAAACTTCATCCCAGAACAACTCGTAAAAGCTCTTATAGATCTCGCTTAAACCGCACGAACATCGAGGCGGCTAATGGAGGAAAAAGTTTCCCATAAACGATTTTGGAAAACGACTGCCCGGTGCCGAAGAAATACCGCTGCAAGTAAAATAGGTAATGGCGTCTTTCCATTGCTATGACAACTCTGAGCTCATTTTAACGCTGATCAAAACAACTTTTCACCTTTACCCAACGAATACAGCTATAGTGGTAATTTTTCCAAATCTTTCTTAATGGCGACGTAGTTTAAGCTCAAACTTGGAGGCATTGAACCTTAAAAACCCCACCGAGTCAGCTTTATATTTAATAACCAAAAATATAAGAACCTGTTTAGCCAAGCAAGATCAAGCAGGTTCTTAAATGTGGGTTACAGTTCAACTATGATAAACTTTTAACCACGGAGTTTGAATCGAGATTGCAAATTTACAAGTCGACAAGAAAATACTAAAAGATAAAATTGCATATGCACATTCTGTAAATCAGTTTTGTCAGGAATATCATGATAAAGTTGTGAATAAATACTGTATATTTAAGGACCAAACCCAAGTTTATTTAGTTTTCTGGTGATCAACAACTATATCTCCTTCACATAGAACAAGAACCTAATAAAGAACTTAGTTTTAGCCTAAATAGCCTGTGTGCAGCCACCTAAATTGCCAATAACTACCCAAAAAATACAAGAGCCTATTTTGCCAGACTTCAAAAAATCTAGGTTCTTACATGCAGTGGCCCCAGTTATTCAAAAAGTGGATAACGCTACCCACTTGATAAATCTCTATCCAGGGGATAGCGCAATTGATTTCCCTAATACTTATACACTGGATAGTGATTTATCCTGTGGATAGCACTATCCAACGTTTGAACAACTGGAGGTTGCCAACTCTCCCCAATGTCTATTCATAATTACTTTGGAACTAGATGACTCTCAAACTTTATGTTCTACTTATACCTTTGGTTTTGTTGAAAGAATTGTTGTAACTAACAAATTTGTAGAGATAATATAAAATAAATACTGCCAAAGAAAGAGTGAAAATGACCATGACCTGTCTACAAAATAAAATAAAGTGTTTTTTTTTTTTTAAGTAATTTAGCAAGCGTGACCCCCATTTCGCAGAGCTGAAGAAAGATTTCACACGCGTGGCAAAGATGAAATAGCCGAACTACTGCAAAAAAGCACGGCAAGATAGCAAATACATGTATATCCCTAATAAAAATTTTCCCATGAGACTTCGACTGCAGTGATTTTGATTGCGTGCAGTAATTGCAATTGGGACGCGATTTAGAAAACTTGCCTTCGCAAACTGGGACCATCACCACGCAACCAATGACGACTGCTGTTCAAAGAATTGAGTCTGCTATAATTAAAACATCCCTTCATAACCTCAAACTGGCAAGGAACAGGCAATAGTTAAAGATGGTTTCTTTACATAGTTCAAGGTTAATATGTTTTTAAGTGGGAAATATTTTGAATGAATAATAAAAACAATTCTCTTGACCTCTCAAAAAAGTGTGTGCTCTCATTTCTGGTACTTAGCGCTTAGCTACTGATCGATTCAGTATTAGTGGTGACTGTTATACATGCGATGTTTAGATGACCAATAAATTACCTGTTAACTCGCACTCCGCACTTAGCTTCATCAATTGCAAGAGCTTTTGTCATTGACGTTACTGCACCCTTTAGACAAACAAAGTTACACAAATCAACACAAAGTAAGTATTTATAATTTTCCCTATCCTATTGACGGTTTAGCTAATTTCATACGTATACTAGGAGAGATCTTAAAATATTTTTCTTCAAAATTTTGTTTATTTTTTCTTTTTCATTTAGAAAATGGTACTTTTGAGAAGACCGCAGAACAAGCATGCGTGAGCTAAAAATCATAAAAGATTTACCTTGCTCGCAACATATGCTACAGCTCCAGGCTGGCCAATTTGTGCCACTAAACTTGACATATTGATAATGTTTCCTTTTGTTTTCCGTAAGTGAGGCAAAGCAAACTGAAAACAAAAACATATCAAAAGGCCAATTATTTTCCTTCGATATGGATGGTTTGTGTAATGGTAAGCACCCATGGCAAGGTCTCACATTATTGACACTTCTTATACCTATCACACTTGATAAATAGATAGCATGCTTACTGGCATTTTGCCAGCTAGTTCCCCATCTTTCTATAGCCTGCAGGCGCTAGGAATGAATGGGTGCAAGAAAGAACAACTTAGGTAAGACGTCCTTTAAATTCTCCGCTCCAAAAATCTGGGAGACTGTACCGCCTGGTCTCAAGTGTCTGCCATATCATAAGTTTAAGAAAGAATGGAAGTCCTGTCTTCTAACCAACCAAATCTGACCTTGCTCATATGTTTTATCACTGATATTATTTGAGATTTTATTCCTCTCCTTACTACTGCCAATTATTTCAATACGACGGTGTCCAACAAGAAAGCTCTTGCTACTTTGGACACCGTACACAAATGAACTTAATATCTTTTAGTTAATTATTATTTGTAGCTACTTTATTTTCCTACTATGTACACTTGTGTAAATATATTGTATAGTGTGAATAAAGAATTGAATTGAACTGAATTGAACGGGCGAGCGGCGTGTCTCCCTCGTGCATGCGTTCTTTCTTGCGCCCATTTAATACTTCCAAGTGCTTGCTGCACAGGCTATTCTTTCTGTGTTAAACTTGTCTAATACATTGTACTGCTTTGGCTAAATTATTACAAAAATCTTTATCCTCTAAATCTAAAGCAGAGTTGTAATCAAGAAATAAACTGTAACATTTGCGTGTAATTAAAAGACTTACTTTACAAAACAAGAAGTAATTCACAAGGTTAAGATTCAGCAGGTCACTAAACTCATGAGCTGAAGTCTGATCAATTGTTTTACTTGGGGGATCTGTAATAAAAGTTAAAAAGTATCGATAAAAACTTGACACCTAGAAAACAATGCATAATTAAAAACTATTAGAAGTTTCAAATGTCTGGAGTCAAAAATAGTAGACCATTGGCACTCCCTTTTCAGACAGTCAAGTTGATAAGGGTCCAGCTCAGTAAGACTGGAGAAATTTGCAAAAGAAAACTAGGCGTTTCAATCTGAAATTAAGTGTTGGCATCAGACCTGGAACAGAATACAGAGAATAAAGTTTGAAAATATTATATAAAGTGAAGAAAATGACAATTAGCCCTGGGAATTAGGGTGCGTAAGCCTTTTTTAGAAAAATATGTTATTTCCGTGTATTTGTGATGTATAAAAGGGAAAAGACCTTGGACTAAGTTTCCAGAGTGCAAACAGATGATAGGTGAGGCCTTTAGCAATGATTATTGCTTGTTTATATTTTTTAAATTTCCTTATTTGCCTAATATGGAAATAATAATTTCATCGAGGTCACGAATGGTTAAGTGATGAATCCCGAGGAAGACAAGATATTTTTATGTGTTTGATTCTTCTACTATGTCAACAATTTATGCCCATTCACGAATGGAGGTGCGAAGATATCGTTTCATGGATATCATTAAAAAACGGGCTTAATGTGATCTTATGAGGTTTTCTTTTGACTTTGAAGTTTAAAAACAATTGAAGCTAAGAAGCTAGAGTTGCTCTAGGCTGTGCCTCAAGCAACTCTTACGCATCTTTCGTGCTCTCCAAACTTCCCGTGTGCATCCCGGCATACCTCGATATACGCACGCTTAGCATGAGCACACATTTTGAATCCAGGGTTCCAAGCTTTCCTTTCACCTCAACAGAAAAATGTGACTCAATGGTCAAATTATGAGCTGAATTATTTACCTCAACAGGCACAGATTTTTACAGGACAATCAGATTTAACGCCTCAATGGACAAGGAGTATGCAAACATTGATTTGCATGTGGTAACTAGGTCGCTTTAGACGCAAAGCTGGTTTTCTTCACACTTTCCTCTCTTTTCTCCCGAGACAAACGAGCTAGAGTAGGATAGAACTATTTTTTGCCTGGCACTTCACTACTGCTGAATGCCGACAGAGAAAAAAAAGCTATCTCCATAAAGGATAATTTGATCGATATCTTCACACCTCCATTTATTCACGAATAAGCAAATAGAGTAGCCAAACAAATATAAATCTCTCGTCTTCCTGTACATTTATCACTAAAATGCTCTGGATCGACACGTTGATGAATACTTCCACAAGCAAATAGAGACATCTAGAAAATAAGAAAAACAATTACTAAAGAATCTTCTCATTTACATTACATATTGAAATTTTCTTGAAATCTCTCGAGCTCGTCCATGTGCGTTGTACGTGATGTCATCGCACAGAGGAAAACACTGCGCATGCTTCTGATCTTACATCCAAAACATTTTGGCTTTTTCCCGCTATTGTACAGAATAGTTACTGCTGGCTCGCATAAGGCTCGCCAGCAAGAAAAAGGAAAACAATAATAACTAAAAAAGACTGAAGAAAAAGAGAACCGATCTCCTTGTCTCACCTGTTTTTCTTTTTCATATGTTTTTGCAACCACCATCACTAGACTGATCAGTCAGTCTAATAGAACTTATTCAAGATAACCGCCATCTTTGCACGCGCTTTACGACTGATGGGATAAAAGCGGAGTCACGTGGCCTCTCAGGAGGCAAACAAGTGATAAAATTTGTCAATGCAAGAAATCGCGGTTGAGTTTGTTTATTCTAAACAAAGGAAAATGAAGAACTTTTTATCTTGAAGACAATAATGGCAAATCACGGGTGAAAATGATCATTGTTACTTTCCTAGATGCAGTAGCGACCGTAAGATGTCCTCAGAGCAGGTAATAATGTCACAAACCTGTCGAAACTTGAACTGTACATTTTGCATGACCATTAAATCGTCCTCTCGTTTTGAGAGAATAAACAAACTCAACCGCGATTTCTTGCATTGGCAAATTTTATTCGTTGTTTGCCCCCTGAGAAACCACGTGACATTGCTAATATCCCATCGATCCTAAAGCACGTGCAAAGATATGGCGGGTATCGTGAATAAGGTCCATTAGATACTATCTCAAGCCTTACTATTTCAACTCACAAAAAATAAGATGTCTGAATTATGCACCTACAAAAGTTCAGACTAGATACATAAATAAATATTGATAGCTTGCAGTTAGTTATGACAAAGGATCAAGAAAAAGGTTTCTCTACTTACGCCATCCAGCATTGTTGATGAGGCAGTCAATGCAACCATATTTTTCAACTGTCTTCTCCACCAAATTCTTCATTGACAAAAAGAAAGACAGCCTTTTCTTACTGTTTAAGTTTAAACATAAATTTTAAGAGAAAAACTGACCCACAAAAAAGTAAAAGAAGTCAGATAAAAAACATATTAGACAATGACATTGAGATATTGTTTGGAAAGCTTTTATGGAATGTCTGTAGCTTTGTCGTTGAGGTTTTTGTCAAAAAAGTACTTTTTTGAATGCTGTGGTTCTAATCTGGAGATGGAACAGGGTACAGTGGTATTCACTAATGTAGCTGTCGTCAATCTTGGATCAAAGAAATTAAACCACAGCAACGCCAACGAGTCACAGACCAGAGGATTTAGTTTTGGCTAATTGAGTGTTCCAATATAAATCGTAAGGTGACTGTTGAAAGTCACTGTGTTGGAATGATTGAGGTCATGGACCAGGCTACAGTTGTTTAAAAAGGTGGGCAATGCTATCTACTGGATAAATCTTATGCAGACACTTAAACAACCGGTGCTAGATGATTCAGTCATGACTGATTGACATGATTATACAAGACGAGTATGGTGAGAGAGCTGAGTTGGGATGACTGTGATCACGTGTACTAAGATGTCTGAATTCAGTTTTGCAGAAAAGGTTGGGTGTGACAAGAGAGCTGTGTTGGAATGACTGTGGTTAGAAGTATGCAGTTTTGTCTCTTATTAAGTGGCTATTAGCAGGGTGAACGTGTGGTAAGAGTGCTGTGCTACATAGGTGGACTTGATATTGTTCATACTTACCCCAAATTAACTGGAAGTTTTGGTTTTGAATGATGATTGTACTAACAGGGTGAACTGAGAGAGCTGTGGTGAGATGATTCGCTGATTAAGTGTGCTAGCAGAGTGAGTTTAGAGTCAGATTTGTTAGGATGTCTGTGTTCATAGACTAGAAGATTCAGTAGTTTTCACTGATTCAATGTACCATCAGTCGACTTAGAAGGAAGGTACTAAGGTGCTAAAATACCAGAATGATTGATACCAGAATGTTGGGGTTTAAGAAAAATCAACTCAACAAATAATAATTACTTCAGATTGAAGAGTTTCTAGAAAGCACAGTACACTGACCTTGATATCCTCCTCTTTAGTAACGTCACATTTAATAAGGCATGCTTCTCCAGGACCTTTGTCATTCATTTCTTTTTCAAGTTTTTCCCCTTCAGCCACTAGAAAGCACAACACAGAAAATAAAGTTAATTCTGACTAAAACTAAAGACACAATGTTTTAATTGTAATATTAGAGGGGAGAAGGGGAACTCCAGAAAAAGGTATATATTTACATATATGTGCCACCCACCCCCGGGGGGGGGCACTTAAGGAATTTCTGGGTGGGGATGTGCCGCTGGGACCCTGGAACCCTTGACCTATACCAGAGCTAGTTCAGCTGAATTTTGCTACCCTATACTAGAGTAAACTCCCAAAATCCCCCTATCCTAGAGTAGCTGTTTCCCCAGTCTAGATAAAATCTTCAACCAACTGATCAGTTTCCTGAAAAAAACCCAAACGCTCTGATTTATATACCCTATCCTAGAGTAAACTGCTTGAAAACCATACCCTTCACAGCGGCACATACCCATATAGCCCATATATGGCAGTACCCACCCGCCCCCGGGCACCCACCAGAGGCACCTTCTTTCAAGACATAATTCTCGTAGAGTAACAGTGATACATCGAAGCACAGGTCCCCCATTAGTTCAGGAGTAACATCATTGTTGTATAAAAGAAATATCATTAATAAAAGTTTGTGAGGGGAATTTAGCACGATCATTAGTTAGGGGTGAAAAATAACACTCAAAATACATATTAGACCTTCTTATCATTTCTCGGCTTTTTTTGTTGTGCATTTTTAGCATTTTTGGCCATTGAGTTTCATGAGATTCCAGCAAGTTTTAGTTCCACCGTTGTTCTCAAAAGGCAAAACTAAAAACTCACCATAAATTCACTGAACCAATCATGGTATCACAACATTGTTGTACAACAGATCACTATTGCTTTACCAGCCATAAAACAGTATGTTAACTTTCACTATTTTCACGTTACTTAATATAGACATTAAAACATCAACATGTCTTCCCTTAAGAACAGACCGTTACGCCGTATTAAATAATTTTAAATGAACAAAGATTCAACAGTACAGAGCCATTTTGTAAATATACAAATTAAAAGAGCAGAACGTAAGAAATGGTCCTTCTTAAAATGGTGTATCCACTTTTAAAGAACTTGCCAGTTGTAGGTAAAACAATCCATCCCTGGATGCCACAATAGATGCAAACACAACACACACAGAATCACAGAATAAGAAAGCAATGCACTTGTGTATTTATTTGTTCTAGACAATTATGGGCTTTGACATGCAGTTATCAGAAAAATTGACATACCCTCACGTCCACAAAAGATAACTTTGGCTCCAGCTTTGACTAGAAAACAAAATGGTAATGTCAAAATACTTGGCTTTAGGATACATTACCTGCATTAGACACATGTATTTTTAACACATTGCAGCTTTTTAAAAGAAGCACAGGAAGGCAATTTTCCCTTCTTGATAAGGGTCACAGGAGAAAAATGAAGGGTTAAGTGATCAAATGACAATTTAGTCATGTACATCATGAACTACAGTGTATTTATGTCAAAAGCTGCATGATGATCACAAGAATTTTTCTATCCAATCATGTACAATGTGCGCATGTTGACGACGCTTTATACTGACTGTGTGTTTGCTATAATTGAAAGTATCTAGTGCACAAGTTCTGGAAATACATGTCTTGCAAACCCTCGCCTTATTTCGCATACTGCGAAGACAGGCCAAGGTGAAAATAACTGTTTCAAGCTTTACACCATCAAGCTTGCTATGCGCACTATTTTATAGCAATTTTCACAAATATATTATAATTCAAGATGCAGTTCACCAACAAATGTTGTCGCTTCTCTGGATTTTATTTCCTTTTGTTTTTTTCCCTTCAACGTTTTTGGATACCATGTGCACCGTGCGTACGGGTAGCTGCACCCCTGACTAGTTTTGTACCTCACAAATTAAATTAGATACTGCACAGATAAAATTGCTTAATGGTAGTTAACAGTATGCTAGTAGAAAATATATGGCAAATCTCAGTTTGCAGACCTCTAACATCCACTCATGTTTCATGCCCTATACGCACGTAACAAATTTAGAAACCTCGCCTGTGAGGAAAAGTGTCCCAAGGATCTAGACTTTGATGGCTTCTTTAAAGAAAAATCTGAACCCCTCTCCAAAGCAACTCATCATCCTTAGTGGGCAGGTGCAAAAGCACAGGGCCCACTGGAGGAGAGTGAATAATACACTTATCATCCACCATCCCCTGAGGTGGGGGACCCAGGGCAAGGGAGGGGACGTGTGGGAAACAGAGCAATCAAAGTTGAGAAATTCCCCCTCCTACACAGGGTCTGAAATTAACTATTTCATACAGGCGCAATCGGGTGACTTAATAAATGTGCCTGCAGATGGCATAAAGTGGTTACCAGAATTTTTTTCCTTTTCTTTAACGACATGATAAGGAAAGAATGTTTTGGACATTTTGCGCTCACGTAAAAACAGACAAACTTCCCAGTGATGGCATAACCTTGTATTCTTGGTTTTGTTTCAAGACAATTGCTTTTTGCAGAGAAAAAGGAATTTGTTCTGGAATTTAGGCCGTAAGGGTGGAATGATATAACCAGCTGCTTCTCTATTCTTTCGTCATGTCAAAACTTTCTTTTCTTCCACAAAAGCCATGGAAACACGAATCACATTCTGTCTATTACAGACAGAAGCCTCCATGCTGTTACCATACATCTTTTCTCCACATGGCAAGATCAATCTACCTGTTAAAAAAATCCTTAGCTGTCTCTTTGTCAACTAACCTCGAAGGAAGCTTTGCACAGTTTGCAAAGCACCAGGAAAAGTGAGGTTGATATTCATGTCAAGAAGAAAGCGCTTTTGCCAGGAATGTAATATCACAGATTGCACAAAAAAAAACCTTTTCACAGTTCATTTTAACAGGACTTTAAGGCTTGAATTGTTTGCTCCACCAACTTCTCTGAATTTTTCTGTTCACTTGCCTTAAATTAGCCTGTGTAGGAGGTGTTCCGATATGAGTCAGGGGCACCCAACAACAGTTTTCGGAAGAATATCTGTTCGGAAGACGATTTGAGATCTAGAATTTTCGAAACATTTGTTGTAAAATTTCTTGCTTGATTGCCTCTCCTAGGATTTTCGAACATCCAAAAAATGGTATATTTGCCTATTTTTAACGGATTTTTACCCTAAAAAGGTCACCTAGAATTTTCGGAAGCCTTTTTTCTGGCTGAATTTTTCGAAAAGGTAAGTTTTGATCCCTATAATTTTCGGATCACTAGACTCTCAGCTAGGAAATCCGAACAGATGAAAAATTTTTAGGGGATAAAAATATGCCTATATCTACCGTTTAAATACTAAAATACGTTTAACAATGCTATGTTTAAGTGGTTTTGAACTATATTCTCGTTGGGTGCCCCTGATGAGTCATTGAGAAAGTTGGGATGAGAACTTTTGCACTATAACTCGATTGGAAACACTTGCTACACAGTCTTAAATTGATAGCTGTTATTCCATAAGACAAAAAACACTTTATGTAAATCACCTTTAACTTCGCTGAGCTATGATTTATATTCTGTCTTGGACAACCAAAAAGCATTAAACAACACTTTCCAGACCACTACGTTCAAAGTTGAAGAAACTTTAAGGCCTTTTCAAGGACTTCCCCTAAAATTCAAGGAGTTTTCAAGACTATGCGAATCATGTAAAATCGGCCTAATTATTTCTTTACACAAAGCCCCCGGTTTTCCCCCCGTGCAAGGATGTGGTAAACCAAACCTCCCTCATTCCCTCCACCGATGGAGTAATCTTTCAAATCCCCCTATATTAAACTCCCATACAAAGTTATATAAAATTACCCAGGTCCTCCCCTCCCCCCCCCTTCCACCCCCCCAGGGGATGACCGAAAAATGATAGGTGCATGGCAGCCGTCCCATAAAATATTCCAACCCAAATTTTACCAAAAGGAGAGGCAAGCCCTAACGTTAAGTAATGCTGTAGATATTTGACTATTCTTCCTTACCGAACTCTCTGACAACTCCTTTCCCAATTCCTTGTGTGCCTCCGGTCACAATTGTAACTTTTCCTTGATACCTCAGGTTGGTCGAGGCCATGGCTTCTGTAGCAAGGGAGGTAGCGAGTGAACCTTACAAAAATAGTTGTTTCCAAATTGTTTCTGATATCTACACGTAATCTTGTTGTCGTTTACACTCCTACATCAACATTGTGTACTTGCTCAAGTACTCGCTCTTTGTAAGGTCTTTGATTTATACGATGTACAATTTAGGAAGAGCAGCACAACAACAGCACAACAACAGACACAGACGAGGAGTAACCCGATTATTATCTTATCAGCGGTAGCGTAGTCAATAGCCGCATGGAAGGTATGGGGCCGAGAACCTTGTCACAAGACATCGCGCGACATCACACTAGTTTCACAAGGCATCACACTGTATCACGAAGTATCACATCGCATCACACTACATCAAAGGTCTTCACACAGCATCACGAGGCCTCACAAGGCATCACACTACATCACAAAGCCTCACAAGGCCTCACATAGCATCACAAGGCATCACACAGTATCACAAGGCATCCCAAGGCCTCATACAGCATCACAAGGCCTCACAAGGCTTCACACAGCATCACAAGGCCTCACTCCTGTTTATTTACCCTGGCCTTTTGGAAACCTAAAGAATGGCCGTTTAACAATAAAAAACCCAGATATGATATGCCTCCCAACAAATGTTGCTAAAACTCAGGATGTCCCGCTGGACTGTACCATTTCCTCGGTAATACCGGCCAAAAGGACAGGGCCACTTTTATTAATAAAAATATTCCTATACAGTTATCCTAAGCGTTCTCGAGAGACTGAATGCCTCTGTAAGCGCGTTCTTGTCTTTTACCAAATCATGGAATGACATTAAGGTCTCTAAATAAAGGCCCCGAGGGTGTCTCATTTTTTGTCTAGGATTACTCTGGCGCATCGTTTCTGTAAATTGATTACGTCTTGGACATGTGGCTTCGGTTTGCTTCATGTCCACAAAACAATAACCCCCGTAGTCAAGTATTAGCTGGATAAGTGAGTTGTAAAACAAATTTCTCAGCTTTCAGTCACAGAAATTTATCTGTTCTTTTCAAAAGGCGAAGTCGCTTTCCTATATTCGATACCGTTATTTAAAAACAGTTGTCTATCTTTATGCCAGGTAGTTTAGTATCGGCTTTAGAATCAAGTTGAACCTCAACTGTTCTCACATTAAGATTTCTGCCCTTCAAGCTGTTAGCCCCAAACTTATGCTGTAGACAATCGCTTGCAGGGACGAGAATCATCAGCAAACGCAAACGCAAACGCAAACACAACTTACATATGAGCTTCTGGGAACGAACACTCGAACTTACCCTATGGCTATGTGGAAGACGAGCTCAGAGCACTAGCCTAATCACCAATTAACCGACTGCTGCTTCAGCCACTAACACTGAGATACACTTTAGAAAATAGAAGTAGTTGATTATGTAACTGAAAAGGAAGCAGCGTACTTACCACGGAAACTGCGAGGTACTGTTCTCTGTGACGCATTCGGCAGTCAAATGAATGTTATGCTGCTTGTTAGCTCTAATCAATGGTCAATTTTCTGTACGAGCCATAGAACCGTGAAATCTCGACATTTTGACACTTTTCCAGTCGTCATGTAATGAACCGTTCACCAGCTAGATCATTCTTTCTGTGGACATTTGCTTAAAAGAACGATCTTTGATCCTAGCGCACTTTTAAAATAGATTACAGATAAGAAGGCAGTCTTTGCCAAATCATTGATATCGTATCAGAGGATTATGGTTTTTGTTTGATTTTAGTCAAAAGTAAATCAACTGCGGTAAAGATACAGTCCAGTTCAGAACATCATGTTAAATTTTCAAAGCTATTCCCGGCGTTGTTTAGCATTGGTCACCCAGCAGGGGCGCCCAAAAATATCTGTTCGGAAGACGATTTGAGATCTAGAATTTTCGGAACATTTGTTGTTAAATTTCTTGCATGCCTGCCTCTCCTAGGTCACCTAGAAGTTTGGGGAGCCTTTCTTCTGGCTGAAATTTTCGAAAAGGTAAGTTTTGATCCCTATAATTTTCGGATCACTAGACTCTCAGCTAGGAAATCCGAACAGATGAAAAATTTTTAGGGGATAAAAATATACCTATATCTACCGTTTAAATACTAAAATACGTTCAACAATGCTATGTTTAAGTGGTTTTGAACTATATTCTCCTTGGGTGCCTCTGACCCAGTGAAGGCCCTTACATAATGGAGACCACAAGAAAAGGGTGGGCGGTTTTGAGTATTTTTAGAGTCGGGGGTATTCATTTTTAGTGCCTATTAAAAGCCATCTGTGCATTATTTTAAAAAAGCCCATCGTTTATGATTTTTTCAAAAAACTGTTATCATTAAATAGTTTGGAAATGAATAAACTGACGATGAATGGCCAGATTTAGAATTTTAGAGCAGAAGTCACATTCCCATGTTCAGTTTAGAAAAAGACACGTCATTTATGTTCACTGAAATGGGAATGGACCCGAAGGACGCAGGTGTTTTGTAGGAAAAAACTTCCTTCGTGGAACCAATCATATCGCTGGGCCGAAAAGTCCCAAAAACATATTTAGCGAACGACTTGCCATTTCATTAACTTATTCTAGTTTTGGCTTTAAACTAGGGGTTTTTCCTACTTATAATACCGAATAGATTAGCATCTCTGTGGTAGCAGTCACCTGAGTTTGACTTTTGGGAGCCAATTGCATAAATCACAAACGTGAGACACACCAGCTAATCCGTATTTCAAAAAGTACAAATTATTAGCTACAAATGCTCTACTTTTTTCACCACTCTTATATAATTCTATCTCGTTCCAAATGCGCATACTTCTTCAGTTTTCAAAGAACTGACAAAAGTATATAGAAATAATTTCTATTCTGTTGAAAAACGACTCATCTTTTCCACAACTTTAACCCGAGCCTTTAATACGCCGATGGAATGCAGACGAAAGCAGGTTTAAAGCGATCAAAGAAGGACTAAATTCCCTCCAACTACTAGAAAATATAGCGGGAAGCGGCCAGAGAAAGCTAGAGAAGTCAGAGAAAGCGTTTCGTCGTGCGGAGAAGATCTGGAAAAGGTACTTGGTCCTGGATCACTGAATTGGGGAAAATTAAAATGAGGGATTCGTTCGAGAAACAATATCGTATGATTTCTTGACGGTGGCGGATGACCGTCGAGTCAGAAACTCGGGAATTCACGTAGTTGTTGATTATGTAAGCTTAAATGATTTTTATTGAGGGTCGCTGACTTGATTCAGCTGTACGGTGGTGCTCTTCAGTCCTTCTCAATTTTCTAAACATCAGCCGAAGCGGGGTAAGTCTATTTTGGGTTCCTTTGTATCATCTTCAAATGGATACTTATTATTATTTTAGCACAAAAACGTGTCAAGGTCGACACCGATCACTCGATCATTTTATAAATTCTCAATAACTGCTAATTGTGTGAAAGTATAATGTTCATGGAGAATGTTGATGGAGATCAATATGTCTTAAGCCTGATCGCACTGAAACAGCTAAGTTCAGTCACAGTTCAGTTTTTAAGTGTGGATCGTAGTGGATATTTTTACACTGATTAAATCTTTGAAGTTAATTTTTTTAAGCTGTTTTAAGGGTATGAGGAGTGTAACCACATGAATCAGTGATTTTCAGTAAACAAAGTAATTGCACTTTTGAGCTTTCGCCAAACTCAGGTGGTTATGAGTTTTAGCTTTGGTGTATAGACTACCTTGTTTTGTTTATGCAGTGACTCGAATCTCGATTTGAAATGCCTGTATTATATATTTTTTTAAAGTTTAAAGATGAGAATTTGTGCTTTAATTGAAATCGAGTTTTTTTTTTCTTATGCCATGATTTAAAGGCACTTGAAGTTATTCATAACTTGTGATCAATAATAGATGGTATAATTGTTAAGAACTTCCTTGAATGCATTTTAGTGTTGTTGAGACAAGATGGTGATGACCAGCCTTTAATTTTACAAACAAAACTAATCCTAAAGGAAACTTTGATGATAGTGCATGTCCAGCATTAAGTAAAAAATTTTGGCCTTCCTGATGCAACAGAGCAGCTTAGCCTTTTTAGGCTGTGGCTCTGTGAGAATTATAGTCTCCAGGTGTCTCCGAGAGAACTAAAAATGCGCTTTCAGATATTGATTGAATCTCTGTACGGTCCAGCATTAAGAAATACAGAGCAGCTTAGCCTTTTTAGGCTGTGGCACTGTGAGAATTTTATTCTCCAGGTGGCTCAGAGGGAAATAAAAAATAGCTTTATTTTTAAGACATTGTTTAAGTATTTAGTTCCCAGTATTGTATCGTGTTGCTCAAGTGCTCTTTCAAATATTGCAAGTGTTTCGCTTACATTTAAATTTAACCCCATCCAGATCCAGTGAGGTTTTTGCATAAGGCAGTTTCCGTTTGGCGGTTAGTGTTAGTTCTGGCCTTGAATGAAGATTCCATAAAAAGGTTGCGTTTAGATAAAGTTATGGAGATCTTGTAAGCACGAATTGAAATATATAAAATGATTCATAAATTGTTTTGAACTGCGGATGAAGGTATGAAAGTGAACATGATCATCGCAGTAAAATACGCAGCGTATTCGGTTACTTTTGCCAGTCTGAAAAGCGTTAATCAAATGTACCCGTCGGATACATCAAGAAATCCGTTTTAACCTTGCCTTGTGTGAGGATGCGAATGGGGTTAACAGTTAACCGATATTTGGCCAAAAAAGTAGTTAACTGATGATTTTTCCAAAGAAGTATACACAGCTACCGTGGATATTAACTAATCAGAGGGCCAGAAAGACAATGGGCTATTGTTTTTTGGGTTACGAGCCTCATAAGCATGGGATACGTCATCAATTTGTTCACGTGACCCATTTCCACCAATCAGAAAGTAGCAAACGATTTGCCTGTTTGGACAGCAGGCCCTGCGCAGTCGAGTTGACAGAGATAGTTTGTGCGCGCGTAAACCTCAAACTGCGCCCCAGTCCCTGCGCATGGGTGGCAATATATCCGAAAAAACAGGGCGTTGAATAGAACCTCGAACAGATGCAGATACCCCAAAAATTATTCCCATTGGATGGATGAGGTATGACGTCACCGGAAGTGACAGGGCAGCGCGAACGGAAGTCAATAAAAAACACACTGTCTTTAGGTCAAAATCATGTTTTTTTGTTTAATTGAATATCGAAAGGTACCTTTTGGCACGCGGGACATGTGTGATGTCCTGATGACGTCACGCCCTAGAGTTAAATACATAAAGGGAAGATAAGTAGTTTTTCTTTTGGCTGAATGGGTCATGAACGGGGAACGAGGCTATCGAATGTAGTGATAAAAGCCTGTCATGGATCACGGTTTTATAACAAGGGAGTTGACTTGAATTAAAACGTCTGAGAAAACAGATCGTATACCCTAGTTACAATTGTTACGTAGGTGACGTCCTGGTGGCCCCACGCCCTTGAATGTGTGCAAAAAATAAAGATCTTGTAATAACCACCTCTGACAAATAAAATTATGTAATATCCAATGAGTGGCTGTGAAACAAATGAAATGAACAAATGAAGCTAATCAAGGTCTGAAAATACGTAATAAGCTGGTTCATCCGTGATGATTGACAATAGTAAGTTTTCCTTTTATGGGCCAGCCTTGAAAAATCATAACTCTCTCGAGTATCGAATGGGTATCTATTGAACAAAAAACATATTTTTGGTGTGAAAATACTACCAAGAAAGGGTGGCGCGACCACGCGACCTCCCCCTTCTTGGTTTACAAAATATCTAACTCGAAACCTATATTGTTAAAAAATTCACAGCCTGCACAGGGTTCGCAGAGCGTGGAAATATTTCGTAGATGAATCCAACATATCTTACAAAACAAATACAATTGGCCCCTCAGGTTTGTTGCTCCAAACACCCCAAACCGTAAACGAGTTGATGGATCATACCCTGAAAGACTACCAGGAAGAATGTGTGGAGGAAGGGACGTTTCCATCGGATCCTGCCACCGAAGTGGGGGAATGGGAAGAACAGGACCTCGACCAGATGGAGGCGAACCTGAACGACCTCTTGTACCAAGCGTGCCCGTTTCATCCCCTCCAATTCATCCATTGTCTCAACCCCTAGACCGAATTTGGCAAGTTAAGGTACAAGTGCCCCCGAGAGGGGCGTCCTATGTATTTATTTGAGGACAACCGTGACATCATGCTGGAAAAATTGAAAAAAGACACCCATCCCCAAGTGCGAACCCAATTACAACGAGGGTTGCTGAAGTGCAAATGTGGTTTACCCCCAAGATGAAGTTGAGTCGCACCACTAAGAATTACAACAAAGTCCTTTTAAGCGGTGGGAGCTTTCTCCCAGGACAAGAACCCTGTGGCTATTTTCAATGGATCCATGTCCCGCTGTGCAACCTCGTCCCCAGGGCTTTTCCCTTAAAAAATGGGTGGGGCGGGAAAAGGCCCTGGCATCGGCTGGTCACGTGTCCCCTCGTACACCCTAAAATCCTGGGTGTAATAAATTAGAGCTATGTGAAAAGGTAAAATTATGCGTAACCTCACAGCGCGCGATCTTGGGAGGCCTTTTATATCTCTTGACGAGTAACGAAAAGTTACAAGATTTCTTTTTTGTCACAGATACTGGCTATGGTAATTTTTTGCTTTCCTCCGATTTCTATGAAGGAGACAGCGAGCGGTAACATTTGTAATACTTCCTTTATAGAGCGATATAAATGACAAACAAGCCATCGTACATGCATAAAGTTTGTACTGGCATGGAAAAGTCCGTTTTCGCGACTCTTTTGATATTTTATTTATTTCTTGCGAAGTGGACCGCCGAACATAACCTAGTTCTATTCACCTTGACTCTCAGCCATATCATAGCGACACGCGTTGTTTTAGACTTATCTAGTATGACCTGTATTTTTAAAAAATTCATTGACCTCTGCGAGACTTGACCGAAACCGAAAACCGCGCATGAAAAGTTTCTGGCACCCAGGGTATCAAACGACTGGTAACAAAGAAAGACTTGGGTCCATTTAAAATTGACATAGCTGTAGTTGATTCCAATCGATCGGTCAATCTTCCCTTTGATATAAGGAAAATCCTTTGTACTTATCCTCGGAAGAGAAAAGATATAAGAGATCTTAAAATGTTTCAGATCGGCGACCTGTCATCGTTCCTGGCTGGAGGGCTGACTTGCATCCGGCGCGGAGATTTGTTTGTTTCATGGTCGCGTTGTAGAGAAGACCAGACTCCATAAAGCATTTTGATGAACAATTCTATTTCAATTAAGTTCAATTTGTCTAAATTCACTGCAGATCCTAGAGGCAAAGGCCCGCATTTTTGTTTGACATGGGACAAAACCACTTTCTGCTTGATCGTACAGTAGTTCCACAGTCACGATGAATTTCAGTCGAAGTACTACTCGATAACAGCTTGTCTCAACTCTGAAGCATTTGACATATTTTGTACGTGACAACATAGAGCCTGTACGCAATTTCATAAACTTGTACCATTTGAATAATACGCAATTAAATGGATCTTAAGCTTTTGAATCGCACAGACGCGAAAATATTGACATACAGTTCGCGATATTATTATTTTCCATTGTTGCTCCGTTCGACTTGTCAGCGCAAAACCAGCAGGTTGCATATAAATTAGCCTCTCAGGAATATTTAGGCTGTGCACGGAATGTGCCCTATTACAATGATCTTGTCCCCCTCCTGAAAAAACAGTGTGGACGCCGGTGGGGAACAAATCGACGGACCCACGCCCCGGCCAATGCTCTATGGGACCCGTGGCACCACGGGTTGGACATCCATGACGGATCAACAGTGGTTGAATCAGTTCGCTGGAGTGACGAAAGCCCAGCAAAGGGAGCGGGAGAGGAGGCGCTATTTGCATAAAAACTTTGGTAGCATGACTTTGTTTTGAACAAACAAAAATTGTATGTGTGAAAAAACTATTAAAGAAAGAGAATTGAAATGATCTTGTGTCAGTGTCTCCATGTCGTTGCCACGCGCTTACGAGGATCCACATGAACCCGGGGGCTTGGATGGGGTAGAACCCTTTGCCAAAGCCCACAAATTGAAAACCCCTGATGCACTACGGATTCTTCAATCCGTGCTCAGTTATACGTTACACAAACCCCGACGGACTCGTTTCCCTACCACACCCACCCTGGTATTTGACCGAGACAAACAACGGCAAATGGATTTGATGGACATGCAAAAACTAAGTCGATGGAATAAGGGTCACAAATATTTGTTGAGCGTGATCGATGTCCTGTCCAAGTATGCCTGGGCCGTCCCCATCAAATCCAAAACCAGCAAAGACATGATACAAGGACTGGAAGGAATTCGCCGCCAAGCTTCGCCGCGGCCGCCACTCCGCGGGCAGAAGGATCAAGGCAAAGAACTTTACAATGCAGCGGTTCAAGCGCGGTTTAAGAAACACGGATGGCATCATTTTTCGACGTATGGGGGTCGTAAGGCCTCTATGGTGGAACGATGGCATCGCACCTTGAAACAACGGATGTACCGTTACTTTACAGCCCACAATACATTACGATACGTGGACGTGTTACAACCGTTGATCCACACGTACAATAAATCCTGTCATCGGAGTATTGGGATGGCCCCGCATCAAGTCGCGGAAAAAACCGTGCCCAAGGTCTGGGACAAACCCTACGGTCATCGCTTGGACCAAAAGACGACATCCCCCAAATGTCAAGTGGGAGATCGCGTACGCCTCAACAAGAAACATCGTCCCTTCAAAAAAGGCTATTTACCGGGATGGACGGAAGAAGTGTGGTATGCCTCGTTAATGTCCCTGACCGTACCGGATCAAGGATCCTCGCGAAGGATCCTCATACAACTGTCATTCAATTCAACATGACGTTCTTGACTCGAAAATATATCACAGGGGAGCATCGACGGGTCAGTTTCAAGACCAAGTAGTACCATGTGAAATTGGAAGAGATCATGAGTTCGAAACAACCTGTCACGTCTGACAACCTGTTTTGGAAACGAGTGATCCAAGAAGTGCACAACAAAAGCATGCAGCAACTCATATTCGAACAAAAGTACCCCCGGACGCATGAACGGGATGAACGACCTTATGTCACTATGAAAAAGAACTGGATGCCCACCATGACCTGGAAAGAAAAATGCCCTGATTTTGCATGCTGTACCTGAAGAACAGTTGCTGAACTTCAGCAAGACCAAGGCCTTGACCACGTTTTCCATCGATCTGGGTGTGGCTGAAAAGTTTGGGTTGATCGAACTACCCCAAGGAAGGAAGGGGTCTGTAGTGGGTCCCCAAGGAGTGAATGGGTACAAGTTGGGACCCAATCTGCAGTTCACCCTCCCCTCTGTGACCTACGATAACCAAACACCCCTTAACGGTCCATCGATTCAAAGGGACATGAACTGGAACGGAGAGCATTATGCGGGAATACAACCAACCGATGTGACCAGGGAGGTGACAGATCAAGTGTTTCAAGTGAAAAATAGCCAACTTCATCTGTCCGGATTGGTGGAATGGCAGTTTAAAAATCTCAACGCTCCCTTTGAAAAGTTGGTTGGTACGAGCAAACGCACCGTGATGGTCTATTCGGATGTGGCAGAATCCAGCGTGGTAGGGAGTGGCAACTTTCCCCTGTTACGCGAAGTGCAGTTGATGAGAACAGGCGATGGACAAAATACCGTGGAACCCCTGCATCACCAACGGATTAAAGTCCGAGGGAATCAACCGGAAATCACTGAAGTGGAGATTGCCACACGCCACGGACCTCTGGCCATCTTACCCCCTAGGAAAACCATCGTGACCATTGGACTCAAACAGCTTTAAAAACGACAACGCAAGCCTGGGTCGAGAACACAAACGGAGAACAGATGCGAGGAGGGAGTTTAAGGCGCTACTACACGCCCGTGGTCACGACCCAAGAGGGAAAAGGCTCGGCTGAAGATTTGATCAAAATAGCCGGTCCCCTCATTGTTCAGCAAGCCCAAGCGGAACTCCAAGATATCCAACGAGGACAGAGTTTGGCCGACACCTGGTCCAATCGAGGCGAGCAACTCACACGCGGTTTGAAACGCAAAGCCCCCGCCTTGGCCTGGACGGTCGGGAAACACCACGCCAGACGAACCGCTAAAAACATGTATAAAAGAGCCACTCAACGCGTACAGGATATTTTTGGTCTGTGAAGCATGGTGCGCATTGGAGGATTTTTCAAAACGCAAAATTGCATTCGACGGCACCGAGCCCGAGGCCGGTTCATCTCGCCGTATCAAATTGGTGGGACCATCTTTGGCAAGTCCACCATGGCGCGCTATCCCTTGCTGCACACGTCCTCCCGATTATTGGACCCCCACTCCATGATCCTGAAGAACTTGAAACAACGCCGAAGGATGAAAGGGAGAACCATTTTTGGCAAGTCAGAGCGAATGCGCTATCCGTGGATGTACCCGTCTGCTACCCGGGTGAACCCCCAAAAATGATTGATGACCATGGCCCGACGCCGAAACGCTATAAAACGGAAACGCCGTTGAACACTGCTTACATTCAGACACCAGCATCATGTCGCTCAATTTCTTCGATGTGCCTGATGCGGATTACCGGTACGAAGCCTCACGGGACGTGGCGTTTCAACCCGCCCTGACAGGCACGCGACCCATCACGGCCTCGGACGATTACTACGATCTCAGCGAACTCCGTTTTTAAGTCAAAGTACGTCTGACAGATCCTGCGGGTGGGTATCAAGGATTGAAAGCCTACTTGGCCATTTCCGATGCTAACAATACCAGAAACACCTACTGCGTCAACAATTTTGGTCACACCATCTTTCGAGATATTAACGTGAGCATGAATGAGGTGCTCATGACCGAACAGAGCAACACCTACCATTACAAAGCCTACCTGGAAACCTTACTGAATTACAACCGAGAAGAATAAGCCACCAAGTTAGCCCCTCAAGGCTGGGTCAATCAACTCAATGTGGTAGAGGAACTGTCCATCACTACAGCCAATACAGATGTCCCCAACAATGCGAACTGGAGTGGGAATGAAGAATTGCGAGCGTTGATCAGCCGCTTGCTGAGCGAGAATTGGCACACCTTCATCATCCGACCCAATTTGCCACCCCTCAAGACGGGTAAATGTTTGGTGCCTGGTTTCCAGCTGGACTTTGAATTGTTCCTGAACTCCAACACCATCTACTTGATGGGCGCCCCCAACAAAGGAACACCAAGAAATTTCCTGCCATCCACAATGAGGATATCACAGTCACCTTGTTGATGAGAAAAGTGACCTTGAATGCCAGTGTCTATGTCAGACTGCAAAAAGAAAGACAAATGCTGAAAAAGATTGTGCGCTACCCTGTGGTTCGTAGTGAAATCCGCACCTTTTCCTTTGATGGCCGAGCCACCCAGTGGGAAAAAGACAATGTCTTTGTGGGCCGATTTTCCGATCGAGTGATGGTGGGTTTGCTGCATTCGAATGCCTTCAATGGAGACTTGGGTAGATATCCCTATGCGTTTCAAACGTTTGGGGTCACCCAAGTACGACAGAGTTTGAATGGAGAAGAATATCCTTACAGAACCCTAGAACTGACCGGGGATCCGAAGCCTAGGAAGATCTGCTGGGGTACAATGAAGACAAGATTCTCATGCTGTTCCCCAGTGACTGGGGACAGGGGAACAACTGCAGGTTGTTTATGTTCAACAATGTGCCCAGTGGCAAAGCCGATGACTCCCAGTATCGCAACCCCCGTCAATCGGCCAATGTGCGACTGGTGACTGATTTCAGAGCCGCCGTCAATCACAACATCACCGTCTTGGTGTGGCCGAGTATGAAAACGTGTACGAGATCAATCATCTGGGAGGTATAAAGTACAACATCAACGGCTGATCCATCCTCAGACGTCAGAAGAAGCCAGCCATGGAGTTTGTCGCTCTTAGCGATACCGTGTTGCAGGCCTTGGCCCTGGACGATCCTCAATTACGGCGCGTGTTTCAAGGCGTGTATCCAGCCCACAAATTAACCCGATCACCCACCAAAACCGTCCGCGTGGCGCACATTGTCAACGCCGATCCAGCGGGGGAACCCGGAAAACATTGGTTGGGGCTGTGGACAGAACAAACAAGTGCGAGATCTTTGTCAGTTATGGGCTACCCTTGCACGTGTATAAAGACCCAGATTTGCACCAGTGGTGAAGTCAATGGAAGTACCTCACCCTCATTGACATCACCCTACAAGCCATGGATAGTCAGACGTGTGGACATTATGCCTTATTTTTCCTGAAAGCCAGAGCGCAAGGACAGACCTATCAGGACTTTTTGGGACGTTGGAGTATCGACAATTTAGTGTTGAATGATCATAAAGTGGCCGAAGATTTGAAACGGGTTATTGAACGTGAATTACAAGATGAAGTGGATGTCCGACCCGATGGGCAAAGTAATGTGAGCCGCCCTTATGCTTTGTAATCATTGTTCATGATGTAACCAAAATAAAACAACACTTGTCAATCATGGTGTGTGTGTGGTGGATGCATAAAAAAGATGCGTCGGGTCGCAGGGGTTGTCATTGTTCATCATGATTACACGCGGCGATGTACAGCGTGTGATTGATGCGTTTACTTTAGAAGAAACCCTGTATTGGTGGTTGCATCGGTTCGACCAGGTCCAAACCGTCCGAGGTAATGATGGTTATCATTGGGCGTTGGCCCGACAAATGGTTCAAGACGGAGAATGGGTGTCCCTCAAAGCGTACATGGACACCATGGGTGAAAAGTATTTAAGAGAGTCTATTGAACACCTCGTTCAGTCAGCGTCCCCTCGATTGTACCACGAGTATTGGACGGCATGCCCGGCAAAAGAAGAAGACCCTCCGCCAAACAACCCCGATTTCGTCAAAACAGGCATGGGATCATGAAAGTCCTGTCCAAAGCGGCTAAAATCGGTTATAAATTGGGACGCGATAAACGGTATAAACGAATAGGAACCAAAGGTGCCACGGGTCATTACAGACGTCTACCTCGACCGTGGGAACGATGATACGACAACCCAGTAGTGTGATCATTGCCGGACCTTCGGGCAGCGGCAAGAGTGATTACGGTACCTGAACGTGTTTCAAGTCAAACCCAAAACCATGGTCTATGCATATGACCGATGGCAACCCACGTTCGACCGTATGCAAAAAAAGGATGGCATTCTATTTCATCGCGGGTTACCGGACCCAAGTCATTTGACCGAATGGTTTGGCCCCACGCGAGGGGGTGTGTTGGTCTTGGACGATCTGATGGAAGAAGGGGGACAGGACAAACGCGTGTTGGATTTGTTCACCAAAGACTCCCATTATCGCAACATTACCGTGCTGTATTTGACCCAAGATTTATTTCCACCTGGCAAATTCTCCAAGACGATTAATCGCAATGCCCATTACATTGTGGCCTTCAAAAACCCACGGGATCAAACGGGCAAACGGACCATTTTACTGCAAGCCTTTCCCGACCGTTGGCGTCAAGTCTTGCGACTATTTAAACTCGTCACATCGGGCCCTTGTGGATATTTGATGTTCGATGTCTATCCTGCTTCGGATGATCGCTACCGATTGTGGAGTTGCATGCTGGATAGCATGCTAATGAGGCACGTGACCCAAAAACAATAGCCCCATTGTCTTTTCTGCGCTACGATTGGTTACCACCGCTAGTAGCCATGTTTACTACTCATACGTGTTTTGTGAAGCTTTAATTCCAACGAAGCATATATCACTCATGGTATACAAAGCAGTTGCTACCAGTGGTAAAAACAAACGATTTTACACGCTTACATGCGTTCTTCAACTTTCAATGTTTGGTTATCATCACAATGTTTTATATTACCTCTTGGAGAGTAACACCCTTCATTTAAGTAAAGAAAAATAATATAAAAATTAAAATTAAATCATTTCTAAATACCCATTGTAAAATATTAAGGAATAATTTTAAAATTCTAAGAAAATTGTCCCTCTCAGAGCTATTTAGACGTTGTCCCAAACGTCTTCTTCAGTGGAATGTTGAACACATTTATAGACCACGTGATGGTCGTAAGATTAGTCACGTGATTTAAGATCACCAGGTGACCAATAGTAAAATCAATCATTCGACAGCTGAAGAATGAATCAGTTTGCACTATACTAGGAATGCTGTAACAGCTTAACTACCGGGGTCTACGTCCCTTATCCTATTTTTTACAAACAGAAGCGTGGGTTCTTTACCGTCCCACAAGAGCCAGATAAGTGAAAACGCGGTGAGACGGGGCTTAAGGGTTTTAGTCCTTATCCAAAATAAACTGTAGAATGTATACCATTTGTTTATGTCCGATCAAAGGCAATGCATCCTCCTCAATTATTTTAAGACCCTGAGTGTTGGTCCTGCAGGAAATTGAACCCGGGCCTGGCACTCCCAAGTCTCATATTTAACCAGTGGAGCTCACCAGTCAGTGCCGGGTCGGACAGTACAGCTAAATTACCACATATAACACCATTATTTTCCTGTTTTTTCCTAGCCTACGTGGCTAGCGAAAAAAGGGCAGGGGCAGAAGCAGAGAACAAGAAAAAAGGGAAAAGAAACCCCTCCGTTTTCCCCTCCTCCCCCACCTGGCGCTTGTTTTTTCCCATCTTGCATCCACATAAGTAAGCTTTCTTTAATTACCAGCTCACTTTTCAATCTATGGTCTGCTACAAGTCTCTGTCATTATAAAGGATTATGAGAATCGTTATGATTAGTAACCGGTCAAGGCGCCAGAAAGTCATCTTGCCCGTGAACCAGGGTTGTCTCGCTCGAAATGTTTCGTTAAGTTGCCCGAAATTTCATCAGGTGATGATGAGACGAAACAAACGGAATTAATGTGTAATATATCTCGTTCTTTAGGCCTTGATGACAAGAAACAAGCGCGACAGATGAGTAGTACATCTCATTCTTAAAGCTTTGATGAGACGAAACAAGCGCGATAAATGTGCAATAGGGATGTTAAGATGTTGTTGAGCATGATAAATTTCGGGCGACATAACTCAGCATTTCGGCCGACTTCACAAAAAATCTCGGGCGACATAACTTCGGTCGCGATGACTTTCGGGCAACTTGACCGTAATGCTGATCAGATTATAAGGTTCACCCCCTTGAGGATGAATGAAGAAAGTTGTTTAAATACAGCCCTAAGGGAAACACAAAGTAAAATAATTTTGATTATTTATGCATTTTCCACTTGGGTTTTCTTGCCATAAGTGAGTTCAGCACCTCCAGTAAACAACAAATCAATTCCAGTGGTGAAAGTTGCTTCGGCAGCAAGGTATAAACAGGCTTGACCACATTCTTCAAGAGTTCCCATGCGACCTAACAGCTTCAAAGAAAACAAGAAACATTGAGTCACCCAGTCGGGAGAGTGCGATATCGTAAGCAGAATGGCAGCAAGTGAGACGACATAAATGCACAATTTTTGACAATACAAGCGATGTCGTCAATTGTGCTAGAGCGGCTTTGAATAGACTATTGAGTATCGGGGGAAAAAAAAAACAAAATAAAAATAAACCATGGGCAATCATAACACACAATATTTTCAAACAATATTACTGAACAACCAGTCAGAACTCAAATTTATGTTGCGCGAGAAAAATGTAAGCGAAAAAGCTGTGATTTGTTATACTTTTACTTCTGACTGGGTAAGGAAATCGCCCAAGAATTTTCAGTCAGTACCCGCCATTCGTCTTCTACCAAAAGCGTTGACCAAGACGGCCTATGAATTAATTATAATAACAATTCCTTTTTTCACCCTCAATAGCATTTATAGCACAAAGACTATTAGGGCTGAGCAAATCTGTGACTGAAACTCGAACGCTGTCTCTCCTTTGGCCACTGAGCACGTAACACTTTAGATTGTCTTTTCTTCTACGTATCCTTATAGAAAAATGCTTGTGGATAAGTTCTTAGAAAAATTGTTGACTCCCTGTCACGACCACATCAGCTACGCTGTAATCTTATCGTGTTTAAAAAAAAGATGCTGTTGTTGTTGTCAACAGTGTAAAAATAAAGCTGTAGAATAGAAGAAATCAAACATAACAGGTTTATGAAACCCGTCTGACCGGAGGCAAGCCAGTTCGGCTATTTCAGTTACAAGCGTCCAGTCGACGATTTCAACATGGGACAACCATGAAACAACAGCTGGCACGCACGGCGCGCAGGACTTGAACTTAGAGCCTGACTACTGCAGGTCCAGCGGTCAAGCCACTAAGGCATGCCTTACAGGGACTGGGTAAGGATCCACCCACAAATCACCAAAATCAGCGGATTATGGTCGTTTTGCCCGGCGTCGATTCGCCCGACATTGTTTTGCCCCGACGTAAGTGGATTCGCCGGATGACAACAGCATTTAGGGCTTATCAGGGATGTTTTTTAGTTAAGTTTGAACTCTATCGCTGCCATTGCTGAA